GGCTCCTCATCTCCGAAAACAAGGCCGGCCGCCCCTGTATGCGCTGCAGCGTCTGCATGGTCTTCGGTGACCCCAACTACAAATACGGGCGCAACGGCAATGGCGGCATCGACATTCAGAAGCAGACGATGCGCAAGCATCACCACAGTCTAAAGCACGAGGCCGCGGTCTTGAGGAAGGAGGAGCGCGACGGCGTGAAGAAAGTGCAGAAGTCCATTGCTGACTTCCACCGTGGGAACGCTGATGTCAAGCGTATTGCTCGCTTGATGGCTATCGTGCTATTCATTTGCAAGTCTGACGCTCCCATTGTGCTATTCGTGGCTTTGGTCCAGTTCATGGCAGAGCAGGGGACTCCGGATCTGCCCCTAAAGGAGAACGGGACGTACTACAGCGAGTAAGTGTCCCGTTTTTCTCTTATGCTTTGTGGTCCGTGAGTTTACTGAACTAACGAACATTAACCCCGCGTGTCTCAGGTACGGCTTCGCACAGCTGGTCAAGACCATGGTGTGCTACCTGAAGTCCCGCCAGCTGAGGCACATCCGCGACAGTCCGTACCTTGGCATCCAGCTGGACGAGAGCACCGACCGACGGCGGGGGAAACACATGATCGTCTATTTGACGTTCATGCGTGACAACGCTCCCGTCACTGAGTTCTTCGCCTTGCTCAGTGTGGATCAGTGTGACGCCGCGTCACTCACTACAGTACTCGACCTGATGCGCCTCACCGGTATGAGCACTGATGGAGCTTCTGTCATGCTTGGACAGCACAACGGAGTCACCGCGCACCTCAAAGTCAAGGTTCCTCATCTTGTGTCGTCCCACTGCATCGAGCACAGGTAAGTTTGTAGCTTCGCGTTTTCCATACATTTTTTTCTTTAACCCGTGCTAATGTTACGTTCTGCTGTCTTGCAGGGAGGCTTTGGCGGCCAAGGATGCTGCCACCAAGCATCCTGACTTCAACATCGTGGACAAGGTGGTCCGAGCCGTAGCAGAGAACCTTGGTCGCTCTTCTGTTAATCACGCCCGATTTCAAGAGCTTCAAGAGGTCATTTGCGAGACCCACCTCGAAGTCCAAGGCATCAAGGACGTCCGATGGCTGTCTCGTGGTGACGCCATCCAGCGCCTGGTGAAGGTGTTTCCTGCAGCAGTGATGGTCTTGCACGAGACCAACAAGAAGATGTATCAAGTCGTAACGAGCTACAAATTTCATTTCCTGCTGTTCTTCCTTGCTGATGTCCTGAAGGAGCTCAACCTTCTCAGCTTGAAGTTTCAGCGGCGTCAGGTGAGCAGGTTCTTGAGTTACTGTTTGTTGTTTTACTATATTTGTATGTTTTACTAAACATCCTGCTTTTGCAACCGCGTTTACAGGTCGACGCAACTCATGTGCTGCCGATGGTGCACAACACCACCTTACTGCTGCACACACGCTACCTCGACTGCGACGACGCGATTTTTGGCCAGGGTGGAGACGCGTTGGGCCCGTTCCTCGACAACCACGCATCAGGGGAGTTCCGCGAGGTCCTCGTTGCTGGCACTGCTTCCGACGGCACATCGGTCAGCCATCGATACCGACTGCACGAGGAGAAAATCAAGGGGCAGAAAAGTGGTGTGGACCACCAAGCGTGTTTGGGGCTGGCGCGCGAGTTCATCACGACCTTGGTCGGTCGGCTCGACTACCGCCTCAAGGATCTGTCACACCTCGACGGGGCGAAGCTGTTCAAGCAGGGATCTTACCCCAAGAACCAGACAAAGCGTGAGCGAAGGCTAAACCAATGGCTCCAGTCTCTGCGCAACATGTTCAAGAGGAAGCCAGAAGACCCTGATACTATACCAGGAGCGTTATATGCCGGGAATGTGCTGTTATAATTTTCAGAATTGTTTCAAGCTGCAAGTTTAAACCCTTTCTGATGGCCATTCTCAATGTCCCCATGCGCACCCCAACCGCAGGCATCAACTGGGCGAGAGCGCAGCGAGAGATCGTCACCTTCTCCACAATCCTGGCCACACACCAAGAGGATGTCGGATTTGCGGACAGCCTGAAGCTCATGCTGTCCTCCCCCGACTGGGCGACATGCTACCCGAACCTCGTCCACCTGTGGATGGCTGTCGCCGTGCTTCCGCTCAGTACCGTCGAGTGCGAGCGCGGCTTTTCACGGCAGAACATCATCAAAAGCTGGCTTCGCGGGAACCTGTGCGACGCGAAGCTTGGAGAGCTGATGGCCGTCTCGCTCCTTAACTACGACATGGAGTGGCCAGAGTTACTGAGGAGGTGGAATGCTTCTAAGAAGCGCAGGCCTGCGAATGATGTGCTGATGGCGTCCGGGGAGAGACAGAGCAAGCGTGCGAAGAAAAGATCGGCCGCAGCTGCAGCAGCAGCAGCAGCAGCAGCAGCAGAAGCAGCTGCTCGAGAAGCGGCCCTAGCAGCAGAAGCAGCAAGGATGGATGCTGAGTATCCGTGGCTTAGCAGGAAAGAAAGGGCCACTATCCCAGACTCAGTGGTTAGTGAGGATGATAGTGATAGTAATGAAGTGTGCGGCTCTAGTGACTCTGACTAGGTCCTTTGCTACAGCCTAGGTTGTTTGATCGTATGACTACACTTGCTGGTAGGATTACAGTAGGCTGACTTTTAACTGGAATTTATTTTTCGTCTGGTTTATCAGACTAGGAAAAATATTTCAGCTTATAATGCAGACCACGGAAGTTTTGTCGTCTGAGCCTAAGACGGGGAAAAAAATTTCCAGGGTACTGTCAGACAGCCCCTAAACCTAGCGAGAACCCTGTTTGAGACGTCTCAAAACACATCAGCAGCACACATTCTCTCCGTCAAGGACTGCCAAACTGGACGATGTTCCATGATGGCTATGAGCTGACACAAGCAATGGATTGCTGTGACCTGACAGCAGCAGCATGCCTCCTCCCTCCAGCTCCTGTGCTGCTGCCTCTGCTGCCTCTGCCTTGGCCTCCATGGCCTCTGCCTCTCTCACTGCTGCCTCTGCTAATTGGTTCATTCTGTAATCAAAGATAGCAGCATATTTTAGGAAACTACCATACCTATGGTATGAGCCGACAAAGGAAAGAAAAAAAGCTACGAACTGACAGCAGCAGCTTGCCTCCTGCCTTCCAGCTCCCTTGCTGCTGCCTCTGCTGCCTCTGCCTCTGCCTCCATATCCTCCGCCTCTCTCACTGCCGCCTCTGCCTCTGCCGCTGCTGCCTCTGCCTCTGCCATCGCGTCTGCAGCCATTCGCGCCAGATGCTGCACCCACTCACTCTGCCCTGCACCCACCGCTCCCCCTACCGCTCCCCCCTCCACTGCTCCGTCTCCCACGTGATCTCCCGCCCTTCCAGCTTCGTTCTGAGAAGGGAGTGACGCGCCGGGAGCTTTCCTGCTCGCTCCTTCTGCTTCTGCCGGCTGCTGCGAGGGAAAGCGGTGCTTCTTGAAATGCCCCAAAGTAGCTGCACTGGCCGCAGCACCACATGTGCTTGCGGCAGCAACAGCGGTGGCGGCATCAGTAGCAGGAGGTGCAATGTGAGTGCTGTGCAGAGGGGAGAGATGCGCCTGTGACAGGTCTGCTGATATTCGATCCGCTGGAGCAGCAGTGGTAGCAGCAGCAGCAGCAGCAGCAGCAGCAGCAGTGTGGGCAGTGGGAGTGGAGGAGTGAAGAGCAGCTGTAGAGCGCATGCCAGAAAAATGCTCCACCCCTGCTGCTCCTGCTGCTGTTGCGCCTGCTGTTGCGCCTGCTGTTGCCCCTGCTGTTGCTGCTGCTGCAGCGCCACCCACCCTTCCCTCTCCTGCCCGGTCTGCTGCATGGCCACTCCCCACCCGGCCGCTGCGAGCATCCCCCCTCCTCACACTCCCTCGGTTTCCCCACTCCACCCTCCCCTCCTCATGCTCCCACTTGCCACTCCCACCCCACCCGCCTCTCCCCGCGCCCTCTCCATCCGCGCCTTCCCCATGCCAGCTAGCCCGCCTGCTCTCCCCCCGCGCCCTCCGGACAGATGCAGGGGAATGCACCTGCGCTTGCCCTTGCCCTTGCCCTTGCACTTGCGCTTTCCCTGACACATGGTGTTGCCCTTGCCCTTGGTCATGGTTGTGGGTGAGCGAGTGGGCGTGTGAGTGGGAGTGAGAGTGGAGGGCCATAGGTGCATGGCGAGGCAGGTAGTAGAGCTGTTTCACCTGCCAGTGGGCGAGGGACACAGGAAGGGTGGGCATTACAAGCTTGTGAGCAGTGAGGCAAGCAAGGCGTTTTGCCCGCCACAGGGTGAGAGTGGAGGGGCAGACGTGCGAGGCAGGCAGTGAAGCTCCTTCACCTGCAAGTGAGTGGGGAGCAAAGCAGGGGTTGGCAATAAAAGGATGTGAGTACATGAGAGAAGCATTGAAGGTGTTTCAGGCACTGGGTGGGTGGGAGTGAAACTGCAGAGCCAGAGGTGCATGGCAAGGCAGGTAGTAGAGCTGTTTCACCTGCCAGTGGAAGGGGGGAACAGCAGGGGCTTTGGCAGTACGAGCGTGTGAGTATGTGAGGCAAGTAGTGAAGGTGCTTCGCCTAACAATGGGGATCGAAGGGGTTGCCATTACACTTGTGAGTGAAGAGGGTGCGAAGGGGTGGAGGTATTGGCCTTGGGGGTGTGAGGCAGGGGTTTTTGAGACGTCTCAAAAACCGAAGAGGGAGGAGTGGGAGATGGTAGAGGTAGCGGCCATGCGAGAGGTGCGCGGGCGTATGATTTCTGAATGGCAACGGAGCACAAGGGCACGGTGGGATGATGGCATAATGGGATTATGGCATGGGCTCTCACGTTCACCAGGCAGCCCTGCTCTCACCTTCACCAAGCAGCCCTCTTCTGAGAGTGCATGGGCAATGGGCAATGGTAAGATGGCATGGCATGGGCCCTGCCAGCTCGCACCTTCACCAGGCAGCCCTCTTCTGAGAGCGCTCTGAGGCGATGCGATGATGATGGCATGATGCGACGATGGGATGATGGTGAATGCAGGTACCTACTCGCACCTTCACCAGGCAGCCCTCTTCTGAGAGTGCTCTGAGGCGATGTGGCACGAGGCGGCGCAGATTGGACGGTGATGCATGGTGGTCCTGGGGGGGGACGCGGTGAGGCGGAGAAGTAGAGGGGGGTGGGTGGGTTGGGCAGGGAGAATTAGTGGGAAGCGAGATTGATACTGTTAGTGGATTTCATGCGATGTGGCATGAAGCGGCGTAGATTGGGTGGTGATGCATGGTGGTCCTGGGGGAGGTGAGAGGCAGAAGCGGGGTTATGCCACCGGATTCCCTGTGATGCAGCACAAGGCGGCGAAGATTGGATGGTGATGCATATCGTTGGATTGTGATGTGGTGTGATGCTATGTGATGTGACGATGTGCTGATCTGCGCTGTGATGCGATGCGATGCGATGCAGTGCGGTGCGGTGCGGTGCGATGCGGTGCGATGCGATGCTATGCGATGTGATGTGATGTGATGCGATGTGATGTGATGTGATGTGATGTGATGCGATGCGATGCGATGCGATGTGATGCGATGTGCTGTGATGTGATGCGATGTGATGCGATGCGATGCGATGCGATGCGATGTGATGTGATGTGATGTGATGCGATGTGATGTGATGTGATGTGATGTGATGTGATGCGATGCGATGCGATGCGATGCGATGTGATGTGATGTGATGTGATGTGATGCGATGCGATGTGCTGTGATGTGATGCGATGTGATGTGATGTGATGTGATGTGATGCGATGTGATGTGATGTGATGTGATGCGATGTGATGTGATGTGATGTGATGCGATGTGATGCGATGCGATGTGATGCAGTGTGGTGTGATGGATCGAGTCAACGCCATCGAATGATTCTCATTGAGGCACGGGCACACCTCAATGTGTTTCACAATAGCTGCAGCGGAGCACCCATGCGCTTCCTGTGAGCCTTCCACCGATGCTACCGCCATCATGATCGCCTCATCTAACCTGCCATGCCATGTTGCGCCATGTCATACAGTGCGGTGAGGTGCCGCGCCATGCCATGCCATGCCATGCCACGCCACGCCACGCCACGCCATGCCACGCCACGCCACGCCACGCCACGCCACGCCACGCCATGCCATGCCATGCCATGCCACGCCACGCCATGCCATGCCATGCCAGGCCATGCCATGCCATGCCATGCCATGCCATGACATGCCATGCCATGCCATGCCATGCCGTCACGTGTCATGCCATGCCATCTCGTGCCATGAAATAGCATGCCACAACATATGAAAACAGAGGCAGCAAGCAGCAAGGGACAAGCACCAGCAATCCTGTGAGTTAAAATTCCACATGTTTACATACACTGCTAACAGGCTTCCAATCTGCAGGCTCGCTAGCCTCCCATCAATCATGAGTGGTGCCCTTGAAATGCTACGAGAAGCAAGCAGCAAGAGGCACAGCACCAGAACCAGCCTTGTTATCGCATAAAACCAATGCCTCACATGCAACAACCCTACAGCCAGCAGCAGCAGCAGCAGCAGCAGCAGCACCACATACATTACCTTGCATTGCTGGTAACAGGTAGACCCATGCCAGCAGCACCAGCAGCGCCGGCAGCAGCAGATGGCACAATAGCCCAAGTCCGCTCCTCCCCCATCCCCCCTCGACTGCCAGTGCGCCCACTGCTCGCGCTACCTCCACCCACGCCCTCCCCCCCCGCCTCACCATCCGTCCCCCCAGCAGCCCCGCCCATAGACCCGCTCTCCCCCGCCCCTATCCCCCCGTCGCCCCCCCCACCAGCGAAATCAGCATCAGCAGCACCACTACCATCATCAGCACCACCATCAGCCACGTCAGCATCGCTGCCAGCAGCGGCGGCGGCCAATAGGGCGTCTTCTTCCTCCTCCATCGCCACAACTGCTGCCAGCTCAGCGCGTGCTGCTGCTGCTGCCGCCCGCTGCTCCCTGGGGGCGCGCACTCGCGGCACGGGCACCACTGCACTGGCGCTGCTGCCGCCCCCAGTGGCTGCTGCTGTCATGTTGCGCCATTTGTCCTGTAGTGTGGGGAAGGTAGGAAGGGGGGTTTGGGCGCGAGAAGGATGGGGGGAAGAGGGGAGGAAGCGGGGGGTGTGGAGGTGTGGAAGGGAGGGGAGTTAGGGCAAGGTGCGGAATGATGTAGAGGAGGGGTGTGCAGTGCTGCTGCTGCTGCCGCCCGCTGCTCCCTGGGGGCGCGCACTCGCGGCACGGGAACCACTGCACTGGCGCTGCTGCTGCAACCAGTGGTTGCTGCTGTCATGTTGCGCGCGCCACTTGTCCTGGAAGGGGGGATGTGGAGGGAGGGAGGGAGGGGGGAGGGTAGGGGGCGGAGTGGTCTTGGAAGAGTGGGGCGGTGTAGTGGTCTTGGAAGAGTGGGGCGGTGGGAAGAGGGGCAGGTCGGAGTAGAGAATGCTTTTTTAGAATTCTAAAAAAACATGGCGGTTGGGGGAGGAAAAATAGGTAGGTAGAGCTCACTCACATGCATGCCAAGCCATCTTGAGGTGTCGGCCTGTCGCACCACGTTCACACCCCAGCACGCACCTTCACTTCACTTCACCCCCTAGCCGCCCAGTAGCACGTTGAGGTACACATTGAAGCGAGTGGTGGGTGAGCATGAGGCGCACCACAGGGTTCTTCTGGATGGCACACGTTTATTCCAGAACGCCCTGAGCCCAACCCCGCACACCCCGCACACCCCCGCACACCCCCGCACACCCCCGCACACCCCTGCACACCCCTGCACACCCCAGCACCCCAGGGCGGGGATCCTTCTCGAAGGCACACATTCACCTTGGCACACGGCCTTCACCCGGCTGTACATTGAGCCCAGTAGCAGCACCCACAGGGCACCCCACCTTCGTTCACCCCAGCAGCACGCACCTTGGGCCCACCCCAGCAGCACGCACCTTGGGCCCACCCCAGCAGCACACACCTTGGGCCCACCCCAGCAGCACACCCACACGCACCTTGTGGTCCACATTGGAGCCGTGGGTAAGAAGAGGACCAAGGCCGGGGACCTTCTGAATGGCACGCCACTTGCCCGGGCCGTACTTGCCCACCCCCGCCCTCAGCGCCCCGGAACACCCTGAGCCCAGTAGCAGCACACCGCCTAACACACATTCACCTTGAGGTCGACACTGGAGCGGTGCGTGAGCAGAGGGGGCCGAGGGCGGGGTCCTTCTGTATGGCGCACCACTTGCCCGGGCCATACTTGCCCACCCCCATACACCACAACCCAGCAGATTTCGGGCCCACCCCAGAACACACAAAGCTTGAGGTCCACATTGGAGCGATGAGTCAACAGGGGCCCTAGCGCAGGGTCCTTTGAGACGTCTCAAAAGTAAGCGTGTTTTGAGACGTCTCAAAAAGTAAGCGTGTTTTGAGACGTCTCAAAAGTAAGCGTGTTTTGAGACGTCTCAAAAAGTAAGCGTGTTTTAAGACGTCTCAAAAGTAAGCGTGTTTTGAGACGTCTCAAAAAGTAAGCGTGTTTTGAGACGTCTCAAAAAGTAAGCGTGTTTTGAGACGTCTCAAAAAGTAAGCGTGTTTTGAGACGTCTCAAAAAGTAAGCGTGTTTTGAGACGTCTCAAAAAGTACGCGTGTTTTGAGACGTCTCAAAAAGTAAGCGTGTTTTGAGACGTCTCAAAACATGAGTCAGCAGGGGCCCTAGCGCAGGGTCCTTCTGTATGGCACGCCGCTTGCCCAGGCCGTACTTGCCCAGCAGCACACACACACGTACCTTGAGGTCAACGTTAGAGCGGTGGGTAAGCAGGGGACCAAAATCAGGGTCCTTCTGAATGGCACGCCACTTGCCCGGGTCGTACTTATTCACCCCTGCCCGCAGCGCCCCGGAACACCTTGGCCCAACCCCAGCAGTACCTACCTTGAGGTCAACATTGGAGCGGTGGGTGAGAAGAGGCCCGAGAGCAGGGTCCTTCTGTATGGCGCGCCACTTGCCCGGGCCGTACTTGTCCACTCCTGCCCGCAGCGCCCCCTCCTCCTCCGCCGTCCACTTCTGCTTCGGCGCTCCCATTGCTGCACTGCACCACCCCACCACCCTCGCCTGCTGCCAAGGCGGCTTCCAAGCCTGCTCCCAAGCCTGCTCCCAAGGCTGCTACCCAAGCCTGCTTCCAAGCCTGCTCCCCCTCCTTGCCTCTGCAACAGGGGCCTCTCCTTTGAGAGGACTTGCACGCCCTCCCTCCTCCACACGCCTCCCTCCCAGGAGACGTCCTAAAATCGCACCAAGAGAGTCCCCCACCATGCCCTCCCTCCCGCCTAGACAACAGGTGTGGGCGGAGGCAAGCCGCACTGGGCGGAGGCAAGCCGCACTGGGCGGAGGCGCACTGGGCGGAGGCGCACTGGGCGCAGTGTGGAGAGGGCAGGGCGTGATGGCGCGGCTGCCTGCAGGGGAGAGGGGGCGGGGAGAAGCAAAGGATAGGAGTTGGACGGAGCTTTGGTTGGCGATGGGAGTTTCATATATCAGCACGGGATGCAGCGGCATGTGCAGATGGTTTGTGCGCGCGCCTCCCCCATTTCCCTGCGCACCTACCCACCACTGCCCGCTCGCCTCCCCCCTTTGTGCGCAATGGTTAGGCGGAGCTTCCCCGGCCGCAGGCGGGGAGAGAGTGAGGCGGCGGCAGGGGGGAAGGAGCGGCGCGATGGGCGAGCGCGGGCAATGGTGGCTTCCGCAAGAGAGCGCCGGGGAGGGCGGCGGAGGGCGGGCGGGGGAGGGCGGCGGTGGGCGGGGGAAGGCGGGGAGGGGGGAAGGGCGGGCGAAAAAAGGTGCAGTGCGAGAGGCGAGGACAGGCGATTGTGGCGTCCGCACGGGGCGGCGGGGGAGGTACTGGGGAGGGCGGGCGGGGGCGGGGGGAGGCTGGGGGACGGCGAGGGAGGGCTGGGGAGGGCGGGCGATGGCTGGGAAGGACGTACCTGAGTGTGGCGTCGCTGGTCCCTTTTCTCCGCCCGGCGGCCAGCGGCGGAGGCGGAAAAACGGCGGAAGCGGCGGAAGGGGCGGAAGGGGCAGAGGGGGCGAGAGGGGTTCCCGGAGCGCACGAGGGGACGAAGGACGGGAGGCGGCAACCCAGGCAGCTGCCGCGGTGTGACCGAGGCACGTCGGCCGACGAAGCGCGGCGCTCGCGACGCGCGACGAGCGTGTGCTGCCGCGGTTGCTGCGAGTTTTAGGCGCTGGAGAATCTTGAAATAGTGAATGCGTCCTAATGGACCTCTTTGATTATTCACTTTGTTTCGAATGCCAAGGCCTTCAAAAGCGAAACGACGAGTTGTTTCATGCGGTATATTTCGGTTAATTTTGGTAAAAACGAGTTCTGGGGCAGGCTTTCTAGACGTTTATTAATGAACTACTGAACCAATGAATATATCAATTTGACCGTTTTGCAACGTATCGAATATCACTAAGCCGCTTTCAGACGCACAAATGCGGGATATGCTGTTTGAAACTTGCGTGCCTGTCAATTCATGCAAATTTCAAGAGCCCACCGTTCAGCACCGATCACGATTCACGTTCCACAGATTGGCCGCAGATCACGATTCACAGCTGAGATGCATGTTGGCCGTCGATTGATCCTGGCAGAATGTTCCATTCCAAGCATAACGGCCAAGATCAACATTCCGAACGATTTTGAGTCGACTGAAAAGCCGCGCGGCCTGGATCTCCTCCACGGCGACCGCGTTGCGCACCCGAGACGCGTCGCGACGGGAAGACGTTAGATAGGCACATCGCGCTCGTTCCACCGCTATCCGATATCAGTTTTATCGCTCGTCACCCGTCGCTCGTCGCTAGTCCCACGTCGTCGCTCTGTCGCTCGTCGCCCGTAGGTAGTCACTCAGGGGCGTGCGACGCCCGTCGCAGGCTTCGGTCGCCATGGCGCTAGACGACGTCGCGCGCCCGCTGGGAGCGGAGCGGGCGGGCGATCAGACGGTGTGGCGCGACGCCGATGCCGTGCTCGCCGCCGCTTGCGCCGGTGAGCTCTTTATCGCATTGCGCACGGGCCTTGCGCGAATGACGCTGCGCGGATTAGCCCTGCGCGGGCGAGCCTGGAATGCGGCCACAGGCTAGTGGAAGGGGCGAGGCGGCACAGCCGGGGGTCCGAGCCGCATCATGCCGTGCCATCACGCTCACGCTGCTAGCACGGCGGCATTCCCCCATCGCACGGCGTTGTGTCGCCATTGTGTGCGGCACCCTATGCTCCCTCTCACTCATCCCCATCTCATCATTCCCCCTCCCTTCCCTCCCACCCCTCCTTCCATCATCTCCTCCCCTTTCGCCCCTCCTCACACGCTCTCCCCCTCCCTCCCCCCCTCTTTACCATCACCGCTGGCGTCATCCGAGAGCAGATTCACGGCGACGCCTTCAGTTTCTTCAGTCCCTAATCTCAACCCCCTTCTTCCCCTCCTCCCCTCCTTCCCCTCCTCCCCTCCGCCCCTCCGCCCCTCCGCCCCTCCTCCCCTCCTCCCCTCCTTCCCTCCTCTCCTCCTACCCTCCTCCCCCCTCCCCACACCATCAGAGCTGCGGTCAGGAGAGCTGCTGCACGGCGAGTCGTTCAGTCTCTTCGAAGCCATGGCCGCCCTGCAGGTGCGCTTTCTCCCCGTTCTCCAGGTGACTCTTGACGTGCCCTCCGGGCGCATCCGCCCCCACCCAGGTGCATCCGCCCCCACCCAGGTGCATCCGCCCCCACCCAGGTGCATCCGCCCCCACCCAGGTGCATCCGCCCCCACCCAGGTGCATCCGCCCCCACCCAGGTGCATCCGCCCCCACCCAGGTGCATCCGCCCCCACCCAGGTGCATCCGCCCCCACCCAGGTGCATCCGCCCCCACCCAGGTGCATCCGCCCCCACCCATGTGCATCCGCCCCTACCCATGTGCATCCGCCCCCACCCATGTGCATCCGCCCCCACCCATGTGCATCCGCCCCCACCCAGGTGCATCCGCTCCCCCCACCCAGCTTCACCTGCCCCCGCGCTGTGCTCTGTTCTCTCGCCTCCCCACTTCCCACACCCTCGCGTGTCCCACACACACCCTCACATGTCCCACTCCCTCGCATCTCCCACACACACACCGTCTGCTTGTCTCCCATCGCGCTGTCCTCTCAGCTTCACCTCGTCTCTCGCTCTCTCTCTTTCAGATCGCTGCCCCGCTGTTTTGCATCCGCCCTGCCTTTCATCCCTTGCTCACCCTCCCACGCCTTCCGCTGCTCTCTGCTCTGCCCCCTTTGCCCACGCCTTCTCCCCCCTTCCTCTCGCCCAGATGATGGACCCAAAGATGGATGCGGGCAAGGGGGGACGCGTTGATCCATCTTTCTTCTGCCTTGCCCGCTCCTCAACCCTCCCTGCCTCCCCCGCCCGCCTCCTTCCCTTTCCCCCCTCCCTTCTCCCCCCTCCCTTCTCCCCCCTCCCTTCTCCCCCCTCCCTTCTCCCCCCTTCCTCTCGCGCAGATGATGGACCCAAAGATGGATGCAGGCATGGGAGGGGGCAAAGGGGGAGAAGGGATGGAAAGCGGGGGGGAAGCGGGGGACAAGGGCGGAGCGAGGGGCGAGGTGGAGAGTGTGGGGGAGGCGGTGGAGAGAGGGCTGCTGCCGCTCCCTCTGCCCGCCCACCGCATTTTGGACCTCTGTGACGCTCTGCTGTGCGCTGAGGTGCGGTGCTTGGTGGTGCTGTGCGGTGCTGCGCAGTGAGGTGCTGTTGTGCGGTGTGGTGCGTTGTTGTGCTGGTATCCCCCTCCCCCTCCTTTCCTCTGCCAGCCCGCTGCATCCGTGGACCTCTGTGATGCGCTGCTGTGTGCTGAGGTGCGTGGAGGCGCTGTGTGGTGCTGTGAGGTGCTGTGCGGTGCTGCGTGCTGAGGTGCGTGAAGGTGATGTGCGGTGAGGTGCGCTGCCCTCTCCTTCCCCTCCCTTCCTCTGCTAGCCCACCGCATCATGCGCCGCCCCGTGCACTGAGGTGCAGTGAGGTGCCATGCGGTGCTGTGCGGTGAAGTGCGGTGTCGGAAACCTTTACTGAACTGCCTCACCCTCATACGCACGCTTCCCTCGTTCCCTGTATCTCTCTTCTGACCTGTCGTTCCCCCATCCCCCACCCCTCTTCCCTTCCTCCCCCTATCCCAGGCCACGTGGTACAGCGGCCACAGCCTGCTGCAAACCCTACACCTGCGCATACCTGCTGCTGCCACTCCTCTCCATGCGTGCCCTGTACATCCCACTCCCCACTTCCTCATCCTTCCCCCTCACGCCCCTCTTATTCTCCCCACTCCCCCCTTCCCCCCCCAGGCCACGTGGCACAGCGGTCACAGCCTGCCGCAAACCGTATTCACCTGCGCCTACCTGCTGCTGCCCCCGCTCGCCCCCCCTTCCGCCTTCACGCCTTCCCCCTCCCTCTCCTCCTCGCCTCTGCTGCTGGCGCTGCTGTCAGCCACCCTCGCCTGTGTCAACACCGTCCGCTCTGCCTCCTGCTGGACGCACCAGCGTGAGGTGAGGTGCCACTGCCCTGCATCATTTTGCCCCTGCACTGCACCATGCCGTGTGTGTGTGCTGCTGCCGCTGCTGTCATGTCAGCTACCCTCGCCTGTGTCAACAGTGTGCGCTCTGCCTCTTGCTTGCTGGACGCACCAGCGCGAGGTGAGAGGCGTGATGGCACTGCATCAGGCCATGCCATGCCATGCCATGCCATGCCATGTGTGTTGTTGCTGCTGCTCTCAGCAGCCCTTGTTTGTGTCAATCCGCTGCCAGCGTACGATCAGCTGCCAGCGTACGATCCGCTGCCAGCGTACGATCCGGTGCCTGCTGGACGCACCAACGCGAGGTGGGTGGGTGGGTGGGAGGCGTGATGGCACTGCATCATGCCATGCCATGGTGTGCCATGTGTGCCTCCCCTGCCTGTGTCAACAGTGTGCGCGTTGCAGCCTGCTGGACACAGCAACGCGAGGTGAGAAGGTGGGAGGCATGATGGCACTGCTGCTTGCCATGCCATGCCATGCCATGTGTGCTGCTGCTGCTGGCAGCCACCCTCGCCTGTGTCAACAGTGTGCGCTCTGCGGTTTGCTGGACACACCAACGTGAGGCGAGAGGCATGATTGCACGGCATGATTGCACGGCATGATTGCACGGCATGATTGCACGGCATGATTGCACGGCATGATTGCATGGCATGATTGCATGGCATGATATCATCATGTCATTTGGGAAGCCATGTGGGGTGGGCTACCAACATGTAACCAAAATATCCAACTAACCCACCAATTGAAGATTTAGCCGATTAGGGCGTGTTTGTTTTTTCCATCGTGTGCCTAAATTCGAATTCTGGACTCGAATATCTGTTGCCAGCATTATTCGAACACCAAGTATTCAACTATTTCACCCACGGTGCCTATGCATAACCTTGAGCTCATAACCTAATGCATAAATTCTACAGTAAACCTTAAACCCTTGTTCTTACGATGGTGTCCTTTCTTCTCCTCTCCTCTCTGTCCGCATCTGACTTCCTCTTTTGTGATCTTCTCATGGCCTCTCCTCTCTTCTCATGGCCTCTCCTCTCTTCTCATGGCCTCTCCTCTCTTCTCATGGCCTCTCCTCTCTTCTCATGGCCTCTCCTCTCTTCTCATGGTCTCTCCTCTCTTCTCATGGCCTCTCCTCTCTTCTCATGGCCTCTCCTCTCTTCTCATGGCCTCTCCTCTCTTCTCATTGCCTCTCCTCTCTTCTCATGGCCTCTCCTCTCTTCTCATGGCCTCTCCTCTCTTCTCATGGCTTCTCCTCTCTTCTCATGGCCTCTCCTCTCTTCTCATGGCCTCTCCTCTCTTCTCATGGCCTCTCCTCTCTTCTCATGGCCTCTCCTCTCTTCTCATGGCCTCTCCTCTCTTCTCATGGCCTCTCCTCTCTTCTCATGGCCTCTCCTCTCTTCTCATGGCCTCTCCTCTCTTCTCATGGCCTCTCCTCTCTTCTCATGGCCTCTCCTCTCTTCTCATGGCCTCTCCTCTCTTCTCATGGCCTCTCCTCTCTTCTCATGGCCTCTCCTCTCTTCTCATGGCCTCTCCTCTCTTCTCATGGCCTCTCCTCTCTTCTCATGGCCTCTCCTCTCTTCTCATGGCCTCTCCTCTCTTCTCATGGCCTCTCCTCTCTTCTCATGGCCTCTCCTCTCTTCTCATGGCCTCTCCTCTCTTCTCATGGCCTCTCCTCTCTTCTCATGGCCTCTCCTCTCTTCTCATGGCCTCTCCTCTCTTCTCATGGCCTCTCCTCTCTTCTCATGGCCTCTCCTCTCTTCTCATGGCCTCTCCTCTCTTCTCATGGCCTCTCCTCTCTTCTCATGGCCTCTCCTCTCTTCTCATGGCCTCTCCTCTCTTCTGCCGTATTTCGCGTCACCGGGGCATCATGATGCCATGTATCTTCGCAAGTTACTCATGGTTTAGGGTTTAAGGCGTGTAATCTCTCCATCCCTCTCGCCCCCTTCTCCCCCTCACCCCCCATTTACCCTTGCCCTCGTCTTCATGCCCTCATTTTCCTCCTGAGCCGCATCAGCAGATATAGATTCCTCTCACCCACACCACACCAACCCCCCTTTTGTTCCTCTGCCTGCCCCCCACCCCCCTTTCCTCCTTCCCCACAGTAGGACTTTGTATCGCCTCTGGAGGGGCGAGTGCATTGCGTGAGGCGCCTCAGACATAGACTCCTCTCACTCACTCCCCTTTCCCCGTCCCTCCCACACCCCCAACCCCACTCCGCCCTCCCGCTTCCACCCTCCCTACAGGAAGAGGATTTTGTGACGTCAGCGGGAGGCTTGCCTCTGGAGGGGCGGGTGGGCGAGGCGGCAGTGGCGCCGCTGAGAGCGCTGCTGGCGGGGCTGGAAGGGGAAGGGGCAGGGGACGCTCGGAAGGGAGCAGGTGAGTAAGAGGAGAGCTTGCACATCTAATTGAAAGACCTATGGAGTGGCGAGTGGCGAGGTGGCAGTGGCACCACTGAGAGCGCTGCTAGCTGGGCTGCAGGGGCAAGGAGCAGGTGGGAACGGGGCTGGTGGGAGGGGTGCGGGGGACAGGGAAGGGGGAACAAGCGAGTGGGCGAGGCAGCAGTGGCGCCACTCTGAGTGCTGGAGAGGGGCTGCAGGGGCAAGGCGAAGGGGCAGGTGGGGAGGAGGCAGGTAGGGAGGGGGCAGTTGGGAAGGGGAACGTGCTGGGGGGACGGGACTGAGGGGGTTGAGAGGGTTTGTGGGAGGGGAGAGGAGTGGAGGGGAGGGGAGGGGAGGGGAGGGGAGGGGAGGGGAGGGGAGGGGAGGGGAGGGGAGGGGAGGGGAGGGGAGTGGTGGGACTGTGTCACGGTGTGGGACGAATGGGAGGTGCCAAGTGTAGGGAGGAGGGGGAACAGTTGGAGAGGGGAAGTCTTAAGGAGAGGGAAAGTGGAAAGTTGAGCAGCATCAGCATCAGCAGCAGCAGCAGCAGCATCAGCAACAGCGACCCTGTGCTGCTTGGGCTGGAGCCTCGTGACTCGCATGCCAACACATGATGCCCATGCCCATGCCATGCCCATGCCCATGCCCATGCCCATGCCCATGCCCATGCCCATGCCTATGCCCATGCCCATGCCCATGCCCATGCCCATGCCCATGCCCATGCCCATGCCCATGCCCATGCCCATGCCCATGCCCATGCCCATGCCCATGCCTATGCCCATGCCCATGCCTATGCCCATGCCCATGCCCATGCCCATGCCCATGCCCATGCCCATGCCCCAATGCTCCACCAGGGAAAGTGTCAGCATCAGTGCAAGACCAGCAGCAGCAGAGCGACCCTGTGCTATCCGGGCTGCAACCTGCTCCCCTCACCGCCCTCGTGGCCCACATGCTACTCACCCAACCCCTCTTTCCATCCACCCCATGCGACCACCAGGGAAGGCGGCAGCATCAGGGCCTGAGCAGCAGCAGCAGAGCGACCCTGTGCTATCCGGGCTGCAACCTGCTCTCCTCACCGCCCTCGTGGCTCGCATGCAATTCCGACTGGTACTATCCCTCTCGTGCTTGCGTGGATGAAGCATCACTTCAATTTCACATATGTTGCCGGCAGTCTGCCGCAAATTTCATGCCCGAGCCGACGGGGGTGGTTGCACATGCATGCCAGCGCAAGTAGACTCTGATTTCTTCAGACCTGCTGTCTCCAGAGAAGGGTATATGCATACCATGCATACCATGCATACCATGCATACCATGCATACCATGCATACCATGCATACCATGCATACCATGCATACCATGCATACCATGCATACCATGCATACCATGCATACCATGCATACCATGCATACCATGCATACCATGCATACCATGCATACCATGCATACCATGCATACCATGCATACCATGCATACCATGCATACCATGCATACCATGCATACCATGCATACCATGCATACCATGCATACCATGCATACCATGCATACCATGCATACCATGCATACCATGCATACCATGCATACCATGCATACCATGCATACCATGCATACCATGCATACCATGCATACCATGCATACCATGCATACCATGCATACCATGACACCCTGCCGCCCTCTTCTCACGCTGCCATACTATGCCATCTCCCTGTCGTCACGCTCTGTCACCCACCCCACCCATACACAGCCGTTCCCCAATTCTTTTTCACTGCTTTCCCTCCCCCCTCCAACCCTTTCACTCTCCCCCCTTAATTCACCTACTTCATCCTCCCCACCCCACCGGGCCTCTGGCCTCCCCAGGCTGTCTGTGACGCTTTTTCAGTGCTACACACACACGTCGTGCCTGCCTGCCTGTGCGCCCATGATCCACCTCGCCCAAACTGTCCTGCACTGCCACACGCACCCCTCAGCGCTGCACACAGCCCGGCCCGCCTAGCCACCAACCTGCCTGCCTGTGCGCTCAAAATCCACCTCGCCCAAACTGTCCTGCACCGTCTCAAGGCCTCCCCTCCCTACCCCTCACACTCCCCTTCTCCCCTCTAAATCCCCCAACCCCCTCTCCTCCTCCCTCCCCCACCAGGCTCTGTTTGACGCCCTCTCAGCGCTGCACGCTGCCTGCCTCCCCGCCCACCTGCCCGCCTCCCCGCCCACCTGCCCGCCTCCCCGCCCACCTGCCCGCCTCCCCGCCCACCTGCCCGCCTCCCCGCCCACCTGCCCGCCTCCCCGCCCACCTGCCTGCCTCCCCGCCCACCTGCCCGCCTCCCCGCCCACCTGCCCGCCTCCCCGCCCACCTGCCTGCCTCCCCGCCCACCTGCCCGCCTCCCCGCCCACCTGCCCGCCTCCCCGCCCACCTGCCTGCCTCCCCGCCCACCTGCCCGCCTCCCCGCCCACCTGCCCGCCTCCCCGCCCACCTGCCTGCCTCCCCGCCCACCTGCCTGCCTCCCCGCCCACCTGCCTGCCTCCCCGCCCACCTGCCCGCCTCCCCGCCCACCTGCCCGCCTCCCCGCCCACCTGCCTGCCTCCCCGCCCACCTGCCTGCCTCCCCGCCCACCTGCCTGCCTCCCCGCCCACCTGCCTGCCTGCCCACTCAATGTCCACCTCGCCGAACCTGCTCTGCACCGCCCCACACACCCCTTTCCTCCCTTCAAATACCCCCCCCCACCTCTTCCTCCCTCCCCTCTCCACCAGGCTCTCTATGACGCCCTCTCGGCGCTACACTCGGCCCGCCTGCCCGCCCACCTGCCTGCCTGTGCGCTCAAGATTCAGCTGGCCCAGACCGCCCTGCACAAACTCAAGACCTCCATGCCCCCGCCCTCAAAATCCCTCTCCCTCCCCCTCCCCATCCCTCTCCCTCCCCCTCCCCATCCCTCTCCCTCCCCCTCCCCATCCCTCTCCCTCCCCCTCCCCATCCCTCTCCCTCCCCCTCCCCATCCCTCTTCCAGGCTCTCTATGACGCCCTCTCGGCGCTACACACGGCCCGCCTGCCCACCCACCTGCCTGCCTGCGCTGTCAAGATTCAGCTGGCCCAAACCGCCCTGCACAAACTCAAGACCTCCATTCCCCCGCCCGGCCCCACTGCTGTAGGAGAGGGAGGAGACGAGGGAGAGAAAGGAGAGGGGGGAGAGCGGGTGCGGACGGAGGAGGGGGGGAGTGGGGGGAAGCAGACGGCGTCAGGGAGGGCGGCGCCAGGCATGTGTCCCGCTATCAACACCCACCTGCTGCCGCCCACGCCGCCCCGTCCCACACACCTGCTGACATGGCACGAGGTGAGGCTGCTGCTGACGTGGCAGTAAAGGTAGTGGTTACTGGGTTTGCTGCAAATGAGGCAGTTGTAGTTTGAGGCGTCTCAAAAGCACACTTGCACCTACTGAGGTGGTTCTTGTTTGTTACTATCCAGGTTCTTGTTACTTAATCTTTTTTCTATCCATGACTCCCAGACGTATCTCTCTAAAGTTTGTACTCATCGCTCTCAACCCAACCTAACTCCTCCTCCATCCTTATTCTCTCCTCCTTTGTCTGCTGCTCTGGCCCTCTCAAACCACCACCCGCCCCACACCCCACCCCCGCTTCCCCCCTTCAACACCACTAGACCACGTCACGTGGTTCGTCTGTTGCCTCACTCACCTGCTTCTCCTCCTCTTTAACTCTGCTCACTCTCCCCATTCGCCCTCTTTCTCCTCTCCTGCCTCCCGTCCCCCCCTCACCCACCCCCTTCCTCCCCTCCAGGCTCTGGACCATTTCTCTCGTCTGCTAACCCATCTCGCATTCATCTCCCACCTGCCGTCCACCTCGCTGCCCGACCTGCTGGAGCTCTCGCGCTTCCTCACCCACTTCCGCGCCCTCAACCCCGGCCCCGTTGCCCGTGCTGCCCTGCAGGTATGAAGGCTCCAGATGGGTACGTACGTGTGTGTGTTTTGATGCAGGTGTGTTGGGTGCGTGTGTGTAGGTGGGTGTGCCTTATACGTGGCGGTGTTCCTCGCCCACTTCCGCACCCTCAACCTCGGCCCTGTCGCCCGCGCTGCGCTGCAGGTAGGCAGATGTATGTGCGTTGGTTGGCACTACAGATCAATTCGCTGCAGATGTATGTGCGTTGGCACTACAGATCAATTCGCTGCAGATGTATGTGCGTTGACACTACAGATCAATTCGCTGCAGATGTATTCACGTGTGTTGGATGCAGGTGTGTTGGATGCAGGTGTGTTGGATGCAGGTGTGTTGGATGCAGGTGTGTTGGATGCACGTGTGTTGGATGCACGTGTGTTGGATGCACGTGTGTTGGATGCACGTGTGTTGGATGCAGGTGTGTTGGATGCACGTGTGTTGGATGCAGGTGTGTTGGATGCACGTGTGTTGGATGCACGTGTGTTGGATGCACGTGTGTTGGATGCACGTGTGTTGGATGCACGTGTGTTGGATGCAGGTGTGTTGGATGCAGGTGTGTTGGATGCAGGTGTGTTGGATGCAGGTGTGTTGGATGCACGTGTGTTGGATGCACGTGTGTTGGATGCACGTGTGTTGGATGCACGTGTGTTGGATGCACGTGTGTTGGATGCACGTGTGTTGGATGCACGTGTGTTGGATGCAGGTGTGTTGGATGCACGTGTGTTGGATGCAGGTGTGTTGGATGCAGGTGTGTTGGATGCACGTGTGTTGGATGCACGTGTGTTGGATGCACGTGTGAAGGTGTGTTTGCTGCACGTGTCATGGCTTGGCTAGAGGTGCCTTGCCTTGTATGGGGCACTTGAACTCGCCCACTTCCGCGCCCTCAACCCTGGCCCCGTCGCCCGCGCTGCGCTGCAGGTATGAAGGCTCCACGTGGGTAGGTGCGTTTCATGCAGGTGGGGTGGGTGTGCCTTGTATGGGGCGGCGTTCCTCGCCCACTTCCGCGCCCTCAACCCTGGCGCCGTCGCCTGTGCAGGTATGAGTATGTGATGGCTGCAAGTGTGCAGTGGAGGTGGGTGTGTGTGTGCTCCGTACGGGGTGCTGCATTTCTTCTCACGCCCCTCCCCTTTCTCCCCCTTCCACCTCTCGTCCGCCCCTCTCCCCTCCTCTTCTCCCCACCAGCTCCTGCTGCTGCGAGACGGTTTCATTCTCGGCCACAACCCCACAGACGTAGTCCTGCACTCGCTGCACCTCATGCCTCTCCTCCCGTCCCCTCCCCCTCCCCAATATTCCCCCCTCCCACCCTCCACTCCCCTCCCCCCCAATCAGCTGCTGCTGCTGCTGCGAGACGGTCTCATTCTCATCCATGACCCCACAGATGTAGCCATGCACTCGCTGCAACTTCAGGCTCTCCCTTCCCCTCCAATGGCATTCTCTCCCCTCCCCGACCCTCCCCTCCCCGCCCCTCCCCTCCCCTTCCTCTTTCCTCCACCAGCTGCTGCTACTCCGAGACGGGCTTATTCTCGGCCACGACCCCACAGACGTCATCATGCACTCGCTGCACCTGCCGCCCACCCTGCTGCCGCCGGCTGGAGCTGCTGCAGGTGGTGGCAGTGGCAGTGGTGGCGGTGGCAGTGGTGGTGCTGGCGGTGCTGGTGGTGGTGGTGGGGAAGCGGGCTCCAGTGCGGCTTTAGGGAAATTTATCAAGAAGGCGTCGCATGTAAGTGGGATGGGGCACATGTGAGTGGGAGGGACGGGGGCAGAGAGACAGGGAGGGGGAGGGGCAGTGGTGAGGGAAACAGGGATGTGGTGTGTCTGAGGTGATTAGATTGGAGGCAAGCAATTATTGTTCCTGCATGGCTGTAAGCATTTCCATGTAACCATGGCCCGCAATGTTCTTTGCGCATGGCACCACTGTTCTGTTATGTTGGATTGGATGGGCTCATCTCATCTGGCCTCATGCCCTCTACCCTCGACTTGACTTTCTTCGTCTCCTTGCCACCCCTCTTCACCCTCCACTTCACTCCACTTCACTGCACTCCACTTCACTTCACTTCACTGCATCCCACTGCACTCCACTGCACTCCATGCCTCTGCACTCCACCACTCTGAACTGCATGGCACTCCATTGCGGTCGTGGATGAGCATGTCTCTTCTTCTGCTGCTGTCTTCTTCTTTGCTGCACGCCCTTGACTTGCTTCGTTTCCTTACCGCCACTCGTCACCCTCGACTCATCCTTTCCCCACTACGGCCTGCTTCCCATCCGCCCCTGCCTCTTCTTACGACCTGCCTCCCATCCCCGCCTGCCTCGCATCTCACCTGCCTCGCATCTCACCTGCCTGCCCTCCCTGTGTTGCCAGTGCAAGCAGTGCTGAGGGCGCAGTGCAGCAACGAGGGAGTGCCGATCCCGCCCAACCCGTCATCATCTTGTCTTTTGAGACGTCTCAAATGCCGGCCTACCCGTCATCATCTTGTCCCTCCCACCCGCCACCAGGCAGTGCAGGCGGTGCTGAGGGCGCAGTGCAGCAACGGGATGAGGGAGAGGCGCATGCTGGCAAAGCCTTTCACCTTATCCACACCTTCCTCTCATACCTATCTCGCCCGTGCAGGCAGTGCAGGCGGTGCTAAGGGCGCAGTGCAGCAACGGGGCGAGGGAGAGGCGAATGCTGGCCAAGCCCCCACTTTGTCCCCTCCTGCCTGTCATCCCTATCTCGCCCGTGCAGGCAGTGCAGGCGGTGCTAAGGGCGCAGTGCAGCAACGGGGCGAGGGAGAGGCGCATGCTCGCCAAGCTGCTGCCCGACTGGAGCCACCTCCTCTCGCTCGTGCGCCCCCCTACCTCCCCTCTGCCTGCTGCTCCTCCTTCTGCCAGTCGCTTTTCTCCCTCCCTTATGCCGTCTCTGCTGCCATGTGCTGTGCTGTCTCTCGCCTCGCTGTCTACTGTTGAGGCACCTCAAAAGTAGACTCCCTCATGCCGTCCCTCTGCTGCCATATGCTGTCTCTCGCCTCGCTTTGCTGTGTCTTGCGGTGTTGTGGGAAGCAAGTGCGGAAACTCGTGTATTTTAACGGGATCCCCCTCAACACCTTTCCTGCCCGCCGTCCACTTAGACTGGAAACGTGGACACATGTGAAGCAGTGGAGCGCAACACCACCTTCTGCAAGTGCGGGATTACTCGTGTTGTCAACGCCCTTTCCCCCCAACGCCCTTCCCGTCAATGCCCTTCGGCCCCTTCCCCCCATCGCCCTTCCCCTCAACGCCTTTCCTGCCCGCTGCCCCTCCAGGCTGGCGACGTGGACGCATGTGATGCCGTGGAGCGCTACACCATTGCCAATTTTGCTCAGGTGATTCCCCAGGTGATTCCCCATGTGACTTTTGAATCGATTCAAAAGTCATTTCGTGGACGTGTGTGATGATGTGGAGTGCTACACCACCGCCAATTTCGCTCAGGTGATTCCCCAGGTTATTCTTTAGGTGGTGTGGCAGTTGATGTCCTGAATATGTGTTCAGGTGAACTCCGAGTTTGTTGATTGAAATTCCATTTGATGCGTGGGCCCATGCATCCCACAATTGAGAATTTTTTAGAATGCGTGGGCCCTGGGTGTTTTTTGAGAATTCTAAAAGAATTGCTCACATTGGCCTCCCAGGCTCCCATGCGACGCGTGGGCACACACCTGGTGGGCTCCCATGTGATGTGTGGGCCATGCCACCCATGTGATGCGTGGGCCTTGGGTGGCACACACCGTTCACGAGCATCATCTCATGTTGCTCAGCCATCAATTCATGTACGGCAGGGCGGGGCATGTGTGTGAAGGGCGGGGAAATGCAGTAACTTTGTAGCTCGCAACCCTCTACTTCCCTTCTCTGTGATCTCTGTCGAAATAAACGGACAGGAATGATTGAACTAGCAGTGAAATCAGTACAAGTACCTAACCCTAGAATTGTGTACCCCCTAAAGGCTAACCCACTGTAGCCTAAACAACCACAACATATATAATGTTTGACACACCCCCATAGGCAAAGTGGGGGAGAACAAGGGGTCACAAGACCAGTTAGAGCAAAGCAAAGCACAAGCAAGCTCAGGGTGGATCTCAAGGGATACCACACAAATTCCGAGCACAAGCAAGTGGTCACAAGACCAGTTCACATGCAGTTTGATAATATAGCAATTGGTACAGTGATCACAACCTAACAAGTGAAAGCATGCAGGTATATATATAGAGATCACAATACAAGCAAAGTCAAGAAGTAAGCAAGTGAGGTCCAGTAGGCACAAGGCCTAGAAGAGTACAGAAGCGCTGATGGTCACAAGGCTGAAGCGCCTTGGTGAACACGTCAGCAGTGTTGGCCTGAGTGGCCACGTAACGCAGACAAAGCTGACCACGCTGCTGCAGCTCTCGAGCCAGAAAGTACCGCAGAGCGATGTGCTTTGTTCTGTGCTCCAGTCTGTGCTCCTGACACAAGGCAATGGCAGCCTTGTTGTCGACGTACAGCACTGGAGGAGAACGAGGCCGCTCTCCCAAGTCGGTCAGCAGGTAGGTGAGCCAGCGTAGCTCCTGGGCTGCCATGGCTGTGGCGTAGATCTCAGCCTCACAACTGGAGCTGAGAACTGAAGAAGAACGTGTAGAACGCCAAGAAACTGAACCAGAGCCAAGGCTGAAGGTGTAACCGTGAAACGACCGCTGAGTGGCCTGGTCGTCCGCCCAAGAAGCGTCTGAGTGACCAGTGAGTACAACTCGGTCTCGCCCTCCAAGCACTAGCCCCATGCCCGACGTACTGCACAAGTAGCGCAACACCCTCTTAGCGGCATCCATGTGCTCCTTCCGGTGACGGCCAGGAGCGACATAGCGTGCAAGGATGCTAAGAGGGTATGCAAGGTCAGGTCGAGTGCAGGTCATCAGGTACATGAGGCAGCCCACAAGCTCTGGATACGGGCCACTCGGCTCTACGGACTCATCCGAAGGCAGAGCTGAGAGCGAGTGACCGGTAGGCAGAGGAGTGGACTGAGGCGAGGAGTACGTGAAGCCGAAGCGCTGAAGGACATGCTGCACCATGTGTGACCAAGTCAAGGTAATGGTGCGTCGTGCTCTGTCCCGGGTGATCCGCAAGCCAAGGTAGCTTGTCAGTTCACCCAGGTCTGTGCACGTGTGTCTCTTCTTCAGCTCCGACTTCACGTGGGCGAGAGCCTCAGTGTCAGCAGTGGCAAAGACCAAGTTGTCGACGTACACGAGGATGTAGAACGGCGGCAGCGAAGTGTCTGTGCGCAGAAACAGCGACGGGTCAGCAGTAGAAGGCGCGAACCCAAGTGCCGCAAGTGTCGTCCTCAGTGTGTCGTGCCACTCACGTGGTGCCTGGCGGAGACCGTAGACCGGCCGCCGGAGGCTCCACTGGGTACCAGGAGGAAACGACCCAGTGAAGCCAGGTGGGCGGCGCAGCCAGATCTCCTCGTGTAGGCTACCCTGCAAGAAAGCAGTGCTGAAGTCAAGAGAGTGAAGCTCGTAGTCGCGCTGAGCGGCTATGTGCAGCAGCACCCGAAAAGTGGTCATCTTCGGGGTGGGGGAGAAGGTCTGGAAGAAGTCAACTCCCTCACGCTGACTGAAGCCTCGAGCAACGTAACGCGCCTTGAAGACAGGCGGAGAACCCGGCGGCCGCTTCACCCTGAAAATCCACATGCCACTGACGATGTTCGCCCCTGGTGGGGGAACTGCGTCGACGTAGGTGCTTGTGGACTTCCAGGAAGCCATCTCTGCGTCCATGGCTGTCTGCCACTGAGAGGAGTAGGGACCCGCTATCGCCTCTGCGTAAGAGCGCGGGGTCGGGATGTCTGGTGCATCCGGGTCTCCCTCAGGGGCAACTAGCATGGACACGAGATGAGGCAAAGCAGCAGCAAAGCACTGGAACTCCTCCTGCCTGTCCTCAAAGACGTCCGTGCCAAGAGCACACTCACTCCCGACGGACGGAGGACAGACAGACTCAGACGCAGCAACTAGGCTAGCGGCGTAGTCTAGACGACAAGCGGCAGCAAAGTCAACTAACTCAGCGACGAGAGCAGACGCAGCAGAGGACTCAAAGGTAGGGTCAGTGACAACAGTAGCGAGGAGACGCGTGACAGTAGGACGGGCAGCACGAAGGGAGTCAGACTCCGGGTCAGCAAGAGTAGGAAGAGAGGACGCAGGAGGAGACGGCAGAGGGACACGCTGAGGAGCAGTGGAGGGACGCAGAGTCATGTAGTGAATGCCAGGGACAGGAGGAGGACGCTCATGTGGGACACGACGACCAGTGCGAGCAGCACGAACAGGCGACGCAGAGCGAGACGCAGGCGACACAGGACGAGACTCAGGCTCACGACGCTCCGTAAGACCTCCTGTGGGACCAGTGTAAGGAGAAGGACCAGGGAGCAGCGAGGCAGGCGGTAACTGTGACTGGGACTGGACAGGCGGTGGACACTCTAAGGAGGGAGCAGGACAAGGAGGAGGAGGCTGACCAAGAACCTGCTGAAGGAGCGGAACGAAGTACGGCCGGGGCCGCGCAGCGACTCCAGAACCAGTAGAGACACCACCAGCACCCGCAGCAGCTCCAGCAGCGCCAGCTCCAGGGTCGTGAGCACCAGCAGCAGCTCCAACGTCAGGGTCCGCAGCACCAGCAGCAGCTCCAACTCCCGGGTCCTCAGCACCAGCAGCAGCTCCAACTCCAGGGTCCGCAGCACCAGCAGGAGCTCCAGCACCAGGGTCCTCAGGACTAGCAATAGCGTCAACTCCAGGGTCCGCAGCACCAGCAGCAGCTCCAACTCCAGGGTCCGCAGCACCAGCAGCACCAGGAGAGCCTCCAGCACCAGCAGCAGCACCTCCAGCACCAGGGTCCGCGACACCAGGCGCGCCACTCCGGAGAGTGCAGCGCCGCTCGTACCACTCACGGATCCGCTCAAGAGAGGGCAGCTCCCGCTGAGGAGGGGAGGCACCAGCACCAATCTCACCACTCCTGGCTCCAGAGGCACCTCTCCGGAGGCTGCAGTACTCTGAGTACCACTCACGCAGCCGCTCCGAGGAGAGAGCTCCTCCAGGTGTAGGACTCCCAGGCTCAGCACCCCCAGACTCAGAACTCCGCGGCTCAGCACCCCCAGGCTCAGCACCCCCAGGCTCAGTACCCTCAGGCTCAGCACCCCCAGACTCCGCACCCCCAGACTCCGCACCCCCAGGCTCAGCACCCCCAGACTCCGCACCCCCAGGCTCAGCACCCCCAGGCTCCGCACCCCTAGCAGGACGAGAGTCAACAGCTACCTCAACAGGCTCAACCGGGTCTACCTGGGACACACCTGAGGGAGCGGCACCCTGAGGGGGGAGGGGGTCTACTACAGCAGCACCTGGCGCGAGGAAGAGAGGCGGGGGGGGGAGCGGGGCAGTGCGGTAGGGGAAGAGGCGGTAGTAGGGGACGGACTCGTCAAAAGTGACGTCCTGAGAGGAAAGGACTCGGCGCGAGGTGGCGTAGTAAAACTGCCAACCAGACGCGTCAGGGACAAAGCCAAGGAAGACACATGGAACAGCGCGGGTGGAGAGCTTGTCCGCGGACGTATCGCGGACAAAAGCTCGAGATCCCCAGACCCGGAAACGCGACGCATCGCCAACCTCCCCCGTCCACAGCAGCGTGGGCGAGGTCTCCGGCAAGGAGACACGGGGCCAGAGGTTGAGCTGATGCGCAGCGTACCGGACCGCAAACGGCCACAGAAAGTGGGGGGCAGCCGCATGGATCAGGGAGGTACGAGCGACCTCCATGACTAGGCCAATGCGGCGCTCCGCAACCCCATTCTGCTGTGGAGAGGCCGGAAGCGTGAACGACTGCTCAATGCCGTGCTCAGCACAGTAGGCTGCCAAGAGGTCGGAGGAGAACTCACCACCTCTGTCAGAGTGCAAGCGCAGGACAGGAAAGTCCGAGTGGAAACGCTCGCTGAGCTGGAGACGAGCTCTGCGGATCCAAGGGATCAAAACATCAGGGACCTCACCCTTGGTGCGCAAGGGGAAGACCGTGGTGTAGCGCGAGTAGTCGTCAACAACTATCAGGAAGTACCTCTCCTGACCCTGACCACGGACGCGGGCTGGGCCCCACACGTCCATGTGGAGCGTCTGCAAGGGAGCAGTCGTCGGGGGAAACGAGGAGGAGTGAGGAGCGGCGCGCTGCCGCCCCTCGACACAGGGAAGACAGGGAGGAGCAGGCGAGGGTGGGAGGGGAGGGAGGACCCTGGGAAGACCAGAGACAAGGTACCGGGAGTGCATGGCACGAAGGCGCTGCACAGACGGGTGGCCAAGTCGGTGGTGCCAGAGGACAGTCTCGTGCGCCAGAGAGCGACACGAGCAGGGGGCCGACAGCTGACCTGACGCAGACGCAGACGCAGACGCAGCGACCTGAGGGGACTCAGTGGTCAGTGTGTACAGGTCCGACCCGGGCTGCCGAGTGAAGGTAGCCAAGTGGCGGCCCGTACGAGCACACGTGCAGTGTGTCACGCGCTCGTAGGCAGGGGTGAACTGGTGAACACCCGCGTCCTGGAGCGCACAACCCGCCACCAGGTTCGTAGAGAACGAGGGGAGGTGGAGACCGGACAGTGTGCCTGACGGGACCGCAGGACAGGGAAGGACAGTGGAGGAGGTCGCAACTACCGGGCCCCCAGAGGGGTCAGCGAGGGAGACAGCAACTGGCCGAGCAAGCGGCTCAAGGACAGTGCGGTCACGAAAGAAGCAGCGAGAAGCACCTGAGTCCAGTGTGAAGGTGTGTAGTGCCTCAGTCGACTCAGTACCAGGGGGCGCAGACGCACAAGCACCTAGAGCAGCAGCCTCACCAGCACCTGAGGTAGCAGACACGCGAGGACCTGAAGCGGCAGACGCACTGGTCCTAATGCCCGGGTCGGGCGGAACACACAGGTACTCAGCACCCTCTCCACTAGTAGACATCACATACATGGCAGTGAGAATAGCATCAAAGTCTAGAGCATAGATATCAATCCCCTTCTTCAGGAGATCAACCCAGCGGGGCAGCTCAGTGGCCTGAGGGAACTGAACACGCCAAGCGTCGTTGAGGCGAGCGAAGCAGCGCTGCGTGGCATGTGGTCCCCCACACGGATGACCAGTGCGGTCACCAGTGTGAATGACGTACGTGCAGCTAAAGCCACCCGCCCCCCCGCGCTGAGAGTACCACTCACGGACCTCCTGGGGCGACGGAGTGTGCTGCTGGCTCTGGCCACCGCCAGCGCCTCCACGACCACCACCTCCGCCCCCACCTCCTCGACCACCCCAACCCCTGCCGCCGCCGCGTCCACTGCCACCCCCACCACCGCCCCCGCCCCTGCCACCTCCCCCGCAGCTGCCGCCACCACACCCACCGCTGCCACTCGCCCCTCCAGCCCCGCCACCACCCCCACCGCCGCCACCGCCCCCACCTCCTCCTCCCCCGCCGTCACCTCCGCCTCCCTTGCCCCCTTTGCCCTTGCCGCTGCGGCGTCCGCTCGAAGCAGACGCAGTCCCGACCTTCTCAGCACCAAGGAGGTCAACAGCAGCAGCAGAGGCGACAGAGGGAAGAAGGGGGGAAGGAGAACACCCCTCAAAGAACGGGGTGCGGGGGTCGCCACGAGAGGTACCTACAGCGACTATGCTAGCCTTAGCTGCAAGTAGTTCCTTCTCGAGGAGGGCAATGGTGAGCTCAGTAGGGCAGCGAGCTAGGAAGGAATCCCTGACTGCACGCAGAGAGTCAGGGAGGCGGGTGACTAGGTGGTAGAGAGTGAGCCAGAGCGGGGGGGGGTTCTTGGCAAGGAACTCATCAGGCATAGCGGCGCGGAAGCGAGCCTCACTAGTGCGGAGGTGCGTGATGAGGTCAGCGACTGTGTGGAAAGAGGACAGGTCGGGGAACAGGTAGGGAAGCGAGAGACGGCCTAGTGCGGCAGAGGCAGGTGAGGAGTAGCGGGCAACGACAGCTTTGTACAGTTCCTGTGCAGTCTTGTGCTGGCCAAAGTGCTCGCGCTCATCTATCGGCAGGGAGTTGCGAATAGCAAAGCGAGCGTGGGCGTCACGAGTCTGCCACTGTGAGCGGGTAGAGCTGTCGGCAGTAGCAGCAGGCGCAGGGGCATGGCCTAGGGCGTGATCGTACAGTGAGATGTCCTCCTTAGCAGTGAGCTGTAGGAAGAGGTGCAGGTCATCTAGCCAGGTGTCAAACTTCACTGGACGTCCCTCAGCATCGAAAGCTAGCACAGGAGGGCTAGCCATAGTAGCAGTAGGAGCAGTAGCAGTAGGTGCACCCTAACAGTAGTAGGCAGCGCGACTCAGGTAGGGCGGCTCGGTCCAGAGAGGCTGTTCGGTCAGGACGGGCGGCGCAGCTCGGTTCAGGTAGGGCGGCGCGGCTCGGTTAGGGCGGCGCGGCTCGGTTCGGGCTGCGCGGCTCGGTTCAGGCGGCCTGGGTTTGGCGGGGCCGTCGCTGTCGCGTGCGGGGGGTTAGGGGTAGTGGGTGGGGTCGACGGGGCCAGCGGGGCCTCTAAGGGGCGGCGCGGGGGTCGCTAAAGGGCGGCGCGCGGGGTCGACGGGGCCAGCGGGGCCTCTAAGGGGCGGCGCGCGGGGTCGACGGGGCCAGCGGGGCCTCTAAGGGGCGGCGCGCGGGGTCGACGGGGCCAGCGGGGCCTCTAAGGGGCGGCGCGCGGGGTCGACGGGGCCGTTAATGGGCGGCGCGCGGGTCGCTAAGGGGCGGGTCGCGGGTCGCGGGGCCTTAGGGGGCCGTGAAAAACGAGGCGCCCTAGGGCGCAGGTAGGTAGGTAGGTAGGCAGTAGCGGTGGGCCCTAAAAAAAAACGGTCCTAGCGAAGGACCTGCTCTGAAACCATGTCGAAATGAACGGACAGGAATGATTGAACTAGCAGTGAAATCAGTACAAGTACCTAACCCTAGAATTGTGTACCCCCTAAAGGCTAACCCACTGTAGCCTAAACAACCACAACATATATAATGTTTGACAATCTCTTCTCCTCATCCCCTCTTCCCTCTTTCCTCCCAACTCCCCTTGATCCAATGCTGAGCTCCAATCCGAGCATAGGTGGTGGAGGGAGAGTGTGGCAACAAGCTGGGTGGTGGAGCACACGTGTTGTGGGCGTGTATGGTACACACACACACACACACACACACACACACACACACACACACACACACACACACACACACACACACACACACCATTCATCCTTCTCATTCCCCTTGCTGTGCGCACCCTTCCTTCCTCCCTCTCAATGCCGACCTGCCAACAGGGGTGGTGGAGGGAGAGTGTGGCGACCAGCTGGGTGGTGGAGCACACGTGTCGCATCGTCATTCGCTATCTGCAGCTTGGCTTCTCCACGCGCCTCTATGCGCCCTCTGAGTTCCTCTCCGCCTTCTGGTCCGTCCTGCCCATCCACCATGCCACGCCATTCCTCCCCCACGCCATTCCTCCCACACACGCTGCCTCCCACATGCAATGAATGAACCCCACACGCTTGTCATGGGCCATGCTACTGCTGGGCTGGTCGTCATAGCCTTGACATGTGTGTCACTGTGAATGTGCCTCCATGCATGGGTGCAGGGATGCATGGGTGCAGGGATGCATGGGTGCATAGGTGCAGGGATGCATGGGTGCATGGATGATGGGTGCATGCTCGCATAGATGGGTGGTTGTATGGGTGGATGAGTGCATGCATGGTCGTGTGCGTGGACGACTATGAATGGCTGCATGCATGGCTGTGCATGCCTTGTTTGCGCATGGCATATGCGACATGGCATGCAGCTCATGCAACATTCCACATGGGTCATGGCGCATGACACATTCCATTGGCATTCTTGCAAGTACACCTTCTCAAAACCGTACTCGTGCTTACACCTTCACATCACACACTCACGCTACCTGTAGCACCTTCACATATCAGCTATGCACCCCGCCATCCATCCATGCATGCAGCTACCTGGACAGTGCACTGGCCACGCTCTCATCCGCAACGTGTCTGCGGCCTGCCCATGGTGCATGGCACACGGCACCTCATACCACCTGCATATCCCCCTCCCCATGCATGCGTCAATAGGTATCTTTACAGTGTGCTGGCCACGCTCGTCCACAACGTGTCTGCGGCCTGCCCATGGTGCATGGCACACGGCACCTCATACCACCTGCATATCCCCCTCCCCATGCATGCGTCAATAGGTATCTTTACAGTGTGCTGGCCACGCTCGTCCACAACGTGTCTGCGGCCTGCCCATGGTGCATGGCACACGGCACCTCATACCACCTGCATATCCCCCTCCCCATGCATGCGTCAATAGGTATCTTTACAGTGTGCTGGCCACGCTCGTCCACAACGTGTCTGCGGCCTGCCCATGGTGCATGGCACACGGCACCTCATACCACCTGCATATCCCCCTCCCCATGCATGCGTCAATAGGTATCTTTACAGTGTGCTGGCCACGCTCGTCCACAACGTGTCTGCGGCCTGCCCATGGTGCATGGCACACGGCACCTCATACCACCTGCATATCCCCCTCCCCATGCATGCGTCAATAGGTATCTTTACAGTGTGCTGGCCACGCTCGTCCACAACGTGTCTGCGGCCTGCCCATGGTGCATGGCACACGGCACCTCATACCACCTGCATATCCCCCTCCCCATGCATGCGTCAATAGGTATCTTTACAGTGTGCTGGCCACGCTCGTCCACAACGTGTCTGCGGCCTGCCCATGGTGCATGGCACACGGCACCTCATACCACCTGCATATCCCCCTCCCCATGCATGCGTCAATAGGTATCTTTACAGTGTGCTGGCCACGCTCGTCCACAACGTGTCTGCGGCCTGCCCATGGTGCATGGCACACGGCACCTCATACCACCTGCATATCCCCCTCCCCATGCATGCGTCAATAGGTATCTTTACAGTGTGCTGGCCACGCTCGTCCACAACGTGTCTGCGGCCTGCCCATGGTGCATGGCACACGGCACCTCATACCACCTGCATATCCCCCTCCCCATGCATGCGTCAATAGGTATCTTTACAGTGTGCTGGCCACGCTCGTCCACAGTCTGCGGCCTGCCCATGGTGCATGGCACACGGCACCTCATACCACCTGCATATCCCCCTCCCCATGCATGCGTCAATAGGTATCTTTACAGTGTGCTGGCCACGCTCGTCCACAACGTGTCTGCGGCCTGCCCATGGTGCATGGCACACGGCACCTCATACCACCTGCATATCCCCCTCCCCATGCATGCGTCAATAGGTATCTTAACAGTGTGCTGGCCACGCTCGTCCACAACATGTCTGCGGCCTGCCCATGGTGCATGGCACACGACACACAGCACGAGAACTCCTATTAACGCCTGCACTGCACATACCCCCTCGCCATGCGTGCATGCATGCAGGTACCTCGACAGTGTGCTGGCCACGCTCATCCACAACGTGTCTGCCCGGGAAGCTTCATTGCAGAAGCCTTTCACAGGTGTGTGCCTTCCCACACACACCCTTTATCCCTCGCATGTGATGCACCCATCCTGTTACAACACCTCTACTTTTGAGTCGACTCAAAAGCAGACGCATGTGATGCACCCATCCTGTTACAACACCTCTACTTTTGAGTCGACTCAAAAGCAGACGCATGTTATGCACCCATCCTGCTGAAACGCCTCTACTTCTGGTAAAAAAAATCCTAATCTGTCCTGGTGTACAACTGGGGTTGATTCAATCCATCAATGGCCAAATTGCTTGCATATCTTTGACTAGAATAAGCATGGTGGTCGGTCGGACCCCCAGTGGTTCCTCCACCCAATATAATGGTGGTCGGGGGGGGGGAGGGGGGAGAGGGGGGGGGCTTTTATCTTGGCAGTCTCCCAGCCAACCACCTTTCTATGCTCCACGTCACTATGTACACCCGATCCTTTTCCGATACCATCATTTGACTTGACTCTTTCAGTCTTCTTCCCACAAGCAAGTCCCTCACAACCACATCCCTGCCTGCATCCACCCGTCCTTTCTTTTTGTCCCCTCACCGTCCCCATGCCCCTCACCCCATTGCAGCCGCTCCCTCCCGCAAGGCTCGGCGCAAGCCAGCAGAAGTCCCGCCCCCCTCGCCCCCACCGCCCTCGCTTGATCAGGCTCTGCTCACCCATGTCCCTCATCCCCGTCCCATGCCCCTCACTCCCACTATCATGCCCCTCACTCCCACTATCATGCCCCTCACTCCCACTATCATGCCCCTCACTCCCACTATCATGCCCCTCACTCCCACTATCATGCCCCTCACCCTGCCGCAGCGCCTTCCTCCCGCAAGGCTCGGCGCAAGCCAGCAGCAGCCCAGCCCCCCTCGCCCCCACCGCCCTCGCTTGATTTGGCGCTGCTCTCTGCCTACCAGCTACTCTGCAAGGCCTACGTGCGGGTGAGTGGCAAGAGAGCGAGTGAATGGTTGCAACGTGTACGTGTGGTTGAGTCAATGAGGCAATGGGATCGCATGTGTGCTGTGTCGCCCCCACCGCCCTCGCTTGATTTGGCGCTGCTCTCTGCCTACCAGCTACTCTGCAAGGCCTACGTCCAGGACGAATGCTGCCAGCAGCTGTGCGCGTGCAAGGCCCACGCGCACAGCTGCTGGCAGCATTTGTCCTGGACTTAGGACGGCAAGCTGCCCCAGCGGTCCTCTCTCTTACCTGCTCCCATTGCCCGCTCACCTCTCTTTAATGCTCTCAATACTCCCCCACCTCACTCCCCTCACCACGCGCACAGCTGCTGGCAGCATTGGTTCTGCACGGCAAGCTGCACCAGCGCCCCTCGCGCTTCATTGTTTGCAACGCTCTCCCCCCTTCCCACCTCACCACCCCCACAGCTGCTGGCGGCATTCGTCCTGGATGGCAAGCTGCACCAGCGCCCCTCGCGCTTCATTGTTTGCAATGCCCCCCCCCCTTCCCACCTCACCACCCCCACAGCTACTCGCTGCATTCGTCCTGGATGGCAAGCTGCACCAGCGGCGCCCCTCGCCCTTCAACACCGATCGCCAGGTGTGCTCCCATGGGCTTGTATAGGTGCTTCAAGCATGAGGGTCGCGAGGGGCGTGAGGAGCGTGAGGAGCGTGAGGGGCGTGAGGAGCGTGAGGGGCGTGAGGAGCGTGAGGGGCGTGAGGGGCATAAGGTCCGTGAGGGTGGATGGTGGATGGGTGGGTAGGGCATCCACCCCTAAACCCTAAACCCGTCCAACCTCCCTGCCTCGTTGCCGTATCTGCATTTCATTGTCTCACCCACCTCACCAAATCCATCTACTGTCCTTCCTTCCACAATTCCCAAGGCCCGCCCTGTGCCTCCCTCCTGTGCCCTCTCCCCTCCTCCCCCTTGTACCCACCCATCAGCGCTACCAGCAGCGCTATGCAGTGCTAAAGAGGGTGCAGCTGCCATTTCTTTCGCTCATGCCCTTCACTCCCCTTGGCTCCCCCCCCCTCACCCCCCCCCTTCCCCCCACCCCTCTTGCCATATTCCTCAGCGCTACCAGCAGCGCTACGCGGTGCTCAAGAGGGTGCAGCTGCCCGAGCCGCTCTCCTACGCCGCCTTTCAACGTGCCGTCTCCCCTGCCGGCCTCTCTGTGCGTCCTCCTTACCCCTACTGCCCTTCTGCCCTCTCCCCCTCTCCCTCTGTCCCCCTCTCCATCCTCCCTGTTGACCTCCCGGTGTTGTTCTTCCCCTCTTGCCCTCCCCATGTTGCCCTCCCCATGTTGCCCTCCCCATGTTGCCCTCCCCATGTTTCCCTCCCCATGTTGCCCTCCCCATGTTGCCCTCCCCATGTTGCCCGCCCATGGCTCAACGTTCCGTCTCCCCTGCTGACCTCTCTATGCGTTCCTATTGTCTTTGCCCTCCCCTTGCCCCATCCATGCCCCATGTGCCCACCTGCTCTTCCTTTCCCCCCACCTGCTGCCCTCCCCATGCCCCCACCTGCCCTCCCCATTTGCCCACCTGCCCTCCCCTTTCCCCCACCTGTGCTCCCAATTCGGTCTCTCCCCCGCCCCACTCTCACTCGTTTCTCGCGTTCCTTGGCACTCTGCACCTTGCGCACTCCACTTTCCACCTTCAAGCTGCCCAGAGCACCTTTCATGGACCTCACACAGTGCTGGTTTCCTTTAGGTTTAGGGTTTAGGATGCTGCTGTTCACCACCCGCTGCTGCTTGCTGCTGTTCCACACAACCATGCAATCAACACCGGCGATTCTGTTGTCACTGTATTGGTATTACTTATGAGAATTCTCAAAAGTAACACCAATTAGCACCGCTGATTGTGCTGTCACTCCTGCTTGCTGCACGCCGTATACCCCTCCCTCTTCCTCACTCCCTCTCACCCTAACAGGTACCAGAGCTCTACCAGTCGCTCCATCACTTCCGCTGCACTACCACCCACCTCACCATTCACACCCTTCACTCCCCACTGCCACCCACCTGCCCACCATCCACGCCATTCACTCCCCACTGCCACCCACCTGCCCTCCTCTCCCTGCAGGTATCAGAGCTCTACCAGCTGTCGCTCAACCTCTTCCACACCCCCGCCACCAACCTGCCCACCATCCAGCTTCCTCCTGTGCCCCTCCTCCCCCCTCCCCCCTCTCCCTCCTCTCGTACAGGTCCCAGAGCTCTACCAGATGTCGCTCGATTTCTTCCGCACCACCGCTACCAACCTGCCCACCATCCACTCCCCTCTTGTGTTGTGCCCCTCACCCACTACTCTCCCTCCTCTCCCTCAGGTCCCGGAGCTATACCAGATGTCGCTTGACTTTTTTCGCACTACTGCCACCAACCTGCCCACCATCCACTCCCTCGCAGCGGCTGCTGCACCTGCGGGCACAGCAGGGGCGAGCGAAGCAGTGGAAGGGGAGGTGCAGCAGCTGGAGCGCGTGTGTGCCAGCAACGCCACGGCGCTCTTTGTCGCGCACCGAGCAGGCGCAGGGTCGGTGCTCAAAGCCTCGTTTGAATTCAGTGCACATCCTTTCTTCCCCGTGGTCACTCTCAAGCGCGCTTAGGCCGCCACCAACCTGCCCACCATCCACGCATTCACAGCAGTGATCAAAGCCTCGTTTGAGTTCACGGTGCATCCTTTCTTCCCCGTGGTCACACTCAAACGTGCTTAGGCTTTAGCTCGTTGTGGCTCAGCTTGTGCAGGGTCGGTGCTCAAAGTCTCGTTTGAGTTCTGTGCACATCCTTTCCCGTGGTCACTCTCAAGCGTGCTTAGGCCTCAACAGCACCTCTGCCTGTGAGAGGCGGTGGAGGGGGAGGTGCAGCAGGTGGAGCATGTGTGTGCCAACTACGCCACGGCACTGTTTGTGGGTCACAGGGCGGGCGCAGGGTCGTTGCTGAAGGCGTCTTTTGAGTTCACTGTGCATCCTTCCTTCCCTGTGGTCACTCGCAAGCGCGCTTAGGCATTGTCGACGCATGTGTGGGTGTGTGTTTGTATCTACCAAGGTTTGCCTCCCTGATTCCATGGAGTGTACAGTACAAGCCCTCGTGCACTGGTGGTTTCATTAGAGTTTAAGGTATTCATCAGGGCACCAGAACCTCCTCCACAAGACTACTGCTACTAGTACTACCGCTCCAGCTTAGGTTCTGTTGGTACTTTGGTTCAATAATGATGGAACAAGCTTAGGATGGATGTAGGCTTGCACTGTTGCCAGGATGTTTGCTGGTCCTTTTTCCCCCTGTGCCAGGATGGTGAGGTGAGGTGAGATGAGATAAGAACTGGTAGAAGGAATGACAAGTCACCTAACTGGCATGGCAACATAACCACAATGTCAAGTTCTGATGCAGATGTTCGTTGCATGTCGGATCACCATTGTCAGCGTGTCGTCGTCGTCGCTACAGGTATGTGCCACTGAGAGGAGAAATGAAATATTGCTGAACCTGCAAATGCTGGTTGATGTAAAATACAAGCAAGGTGTGTTACATTTCAATATTTCGACCCTTCTAGTACAGTACTTTTCTATCGGAGTTTTTCGAGCAGTCGCTTGCTGCTACCATCTCGGCCGCCAACAAAAATGAACATATGGGCGTGTCGGGACTGGAGAGTACGTTTAAAGCTGTTGAGCAGGGCTCGATACGATCCAGAGCGGTCTATTTAGAAAGTTAACGCTTTGGTTGGGCACTGTTGCAAGTACGACCTTTTTGGTTGGACCCGCGACCTCAGACAGCAGCACGAGGTCCATGATGTCATTTAGGGCGTGTGTGGTCTGTCCCAAAGTTCAGAAAAAAGTGCGAACTTTGTGTGGTTACCCGTGTCGCCAATCTCGCTAACATGTATTTGCGGAAATAAATGGACTTTGGTTTTGGTCGGATTCGAACTGCATTGAACATAACTCGAGTTTCAGTAGTGAACATGCTTCCGCATGTTCACATTCTCTTGTGTGATTTCCAGCACGTTCGAACAACATGCGAAATGTGCGAGCGATTCACGAGTAGCAACAGTGGCACAACGAACTCTGGATAGCCTTCGTTCATTGAACGGACGCCATGTGGCCAGAATCGTGGCACGTACACCCCACACTGGGAATATTGCGGTAGCCGTCTTGACGGACCAATTGCAGGTACCCCTGCCACACGATGCCGAGAAATCTGACGAGATGGAGGATTGTCATGTTTGGGGAATGACGAGTGTTCCAGGTGGCCAAGCACCCATATTTGTAACCCAGTCACGCACGAAGATAGAAGGTGAGCTGGAGGTCTAGGCCATTGTAAACCGCGGCGCACGTCGTCGACGTGGCGCACTGTGAAAACGTCTGAACCGGGTAACCAATGTTGTAAAAATGCGGCTCGACTCGATTTTACAAGTTCGAACGTGCGCGTTCGACCTTGTATGTGTGTGTGCTTTTCTGCAGTGTTGTGGTCCAGATGTGCGAACCCCCATACAAAGAAAGTCTAGATTGATTCTGACTTATGTTCATTTCGCACAACTCGCCCTAAAACGTAAACTTTTGCAGTTTTCATGGAACACACGCGCCCTTAGTACGTCTTGTACATCGAATGGCTGCACGCGGCTCCATACGTTTACTGTACAGTAGTGTGATGAAGCAATAGTCAACGGGAGGGAGGGAAGGTGCTCCTGGGATGATGAGAGGTGCCTCATGTGTTCCTATCCATTCCGAGCAGGTCAGTTCGATGCCTAACCAGTAACCACCTTTTCCTCGAGCACGTGTCGATCACTATAGCTGTTTGCGGGGCAGTCCCAATACGCTCGACGCGACACGCCGACTCGGAGCGGCAAGTGTCAGTCCAGAACTTGCTCCGAAACGTCCGACGCCTCTTTCAGAATGCAACCTATCGGAAAACGTAGTATGTTAGGAAGTTAATTAATCTGAGGGCGTGTCAGGGCAGATGAATTACTGTTGCATCTCTCGCCGCAGATTGCGGGCTCACCCAGCTTCTGGGGCCGCGAGTGTCCTCTGTGTCGCGATTCCCCTACCAGTTACGATTCTCCTCTATCTCGTAGCCTTCCTTCGCGTCGCTGACGGTCTCGTCGACTGCTACAACCTAACGAATCCAAGTAAGAGGCTTCGCCCCTCCCGTTCTTTCGCATCACCGCCATTTACTGTTTCGTCGCTTTAGTAGTGGTCGAGTCGTAAGCACGACTCCAGTGACGGGACTCTACTACTCACTCAGTTTCGTCCCCCTCTCTCTCCAGCGTATTTAAATCTCCACATTTACGTGTTCCTTTCTTCCCCCAGCCATTTTATCACCTTCTTCCTCCTCCAACCCTGAAGCCCCTTTCCAATCGCTTCGCGGTGTGCACGCTGCTACCCTTTTTTCGTTCAAGCCCTACATGTCGCCGGCGCCAAAGTGCCAGATACTGGCAAAGCTGCTTTTTTTAGGGTTTCGTTCCTGTAACAAGTCAGGTTTCGCCATGCTAGCATGCATGGGAATCTCCAGATGGGAGAGAAGTTGTATCTCTTAGGTAGCTCCGAACTTATTTGTTAGCCTAGAGAACACACTCACCTATCCCCGTCATACTCTAGAATCCAGCAAGGCATGGCATCGAGGCGTTATGCCAAGATGCCATGCTGAAAGCTTGGCGATGCGGTTTTCCTTCCGAGCTTCCTTCCTAGCATAAAGTAGCTTCCCTGTTTTATCATCCTTGAATCATCTTCTAATCTAATCTCAACATCATCATCTTGATCTTTCTCCTATCAACACTCAACTCTCATCTACGTTCCTGAAGCTGGGCTTCTCACTGGCTTATCTTCCTCCTGCTGCGACGTTCAACTAATCTCTTTTCTGTCTCTTCGCTACGGCGCTCGCCCTAGTCGCCATGGCCGGCCATGCCAGCCGCGCCGGCGTGCGCGACAGCGCTCGTAGCTCATTGTTTCACTTCCTCTCCCGCTCAATAACCCTAAAATTTTCCAATTCTCTTCCATTGTACCACCTCTTCTTTGGCCGTCACAGGTGAACCCTCAAACCTCCTCTCGAACCCAAGCTTCGATACAAGCTGTCTCGACACAGGATGGCGTCGCAAGAAGCTGAACGCGTCGTGCCAACCATGGTCGTACTTTTTCCCGTGGCGCGCGTTAGAGCCTGGGGAAGCATTCTTAAGCGACGAGATTTCAGCCACCGCATTTGGCGGCAAAAGTCGCGGAACATCGCTTGCGCCAGCGGGCGCGACATTGGCGGAAGCTTTCGCGACAGCAAGCAGGGCGGCGCCGCCTGCTGACGTGTCAATAGTGAACGGGGTAGCGGGAGTCGCGGACATCCTACTGGCAGCGGACGGGTCCCGTTTCATACGGCTGACATCCGATTTTTCCGTGTCGTCTAGTGGCGGCGATGGTGCTTCTAGTAGTACTAGCAATGGTAGTAGTAACAATATTAGCAGCGCGTTGGGCGGCCCAGGCGTGTCGCAAGCGCTGTGCGAACTCAAACCCGCGGCGCCAACGAGCAACGTGTCTCAGCAGCAGCAGTCCCCGCGCCAGCTGTCCCTCTCGTTCTTTGCGCGCGCCAGCCTGTGCGCGGAGGGGGAAGGGGGCGCAGAAGGGGAGGCGGAGCGGCTGTTGAAGGTGCTGCTGCTGGCTGTTCCGCTAAACGATTCTGCCGCTGCAGGGGGAGGGGCGGGGGGAGGAGGAGGGGGGGAGCAGGTGTGGGGAGAGTGGCGGGTGGGCGTGCCGTGTGGGGGGAGCAGCGCGAGTTTGTCCGGTGCCTTGCCTTGGTTCCAAGTGGGACCCCTCCTCTTCCCCCTCCCTGACCCCCCGGACTCCTCCGCCTCTTCGCCTTCCTCCTTGGTAGTGCCTGCGGGGGGAGTGGCGCTGTACTTGGTGATTCGAGGCGTGCAAGGCAGTAACAGCAGCAGCACTGCCAACGTCGCCACCACCAGCGGTGTTGCCACCGCCACAAGCATCGTAGTTGCTAGTACTAGCAGCAGTGAGACCAGTAGCGTTGGCGCCACCAGCACCAGCTCAAGCAGTAGCGTTGACAGCAGCAGCAGCAGCAGCAGTGGCAGCAGCATCAGTGTTGACAGAAGCAGCAGGAGTAGTAGCAGCAGCAGTAGCAGCGGCTTTACCATCTCCTCCGTGGGCCTCCAAATCCGGTCCGCTCTACATCCTCACCTTACCCGCGCTGCTTCCGCCCTGAAACAGCTTCTCCGATTCCCCACACTACCGCTCTCCATGCGCAGAGCAACAACAGGAGCAGGGGCAGCAGCGGGGGCGAATGTGACGATGGTAGAGAGAGTGGGCGTGGCGTCGGAAGCTTTTGAATCGACTCAAAAGGCAGCAGCGGGAGCCAATGCAATGGTGAAGAGCGAGGGCATGGCGTCGGAAGCGGGGAGCACTGCTATCGACCTCGTGTCTGTCATGCCCACTAGCAGTGAGTGATAGGCGCTGCGGGGCGGGTTGCAAGGAGGGATAGAGGTGAGTGAGAGGGGGAGGGAGGTGCGGACAGGCGGTTGGCCGGAGCGGGCGCACTGCTATCGACCTCGTGTCTGTCATGCCCACCAGCTGTGAGTGATAGGCGCTGGGGGGTGGGCTGCAAGGAGGGATAGAGTCTGCTTTTGAGAGTCTTAGTCCCAGGTGAGTGAGAGGAGGAGATACTACGCACGTTCCGGTGGTAAAGGGAGTGGGCGTGGCGGCGGAAGCGGAGAGTATTTTTATCGACCTTGGTAAAGGGAGTGGGCGTGGCGGCGGAAGCGGAGAGTATTTCTATCGACCTTGGTAAAGGGAGTGGGCGTGGCGGCGGAAGCGGAGAGTATTTCTATCGACCTTGTGTCTGTCATACCCAGCAGTGAGTGATAGGCGCTGGGGGGCGGGCTGCAAGGAGGGACGATAGAGTTTTAGTCCCAGGTGAGTGAGAGGGAGGGGCGTGGCGTCGGAAGCGGGGAGCACTGCTATCGTGTCTGTCGTGCCCAGAGTGATAGGTGCTGGGGGGCGGGCTGCAAGGAGGGAAGAGTCCCAGGCTCAGGTGAGTGAGAGGGGGAGGTAGGCACGTTCAAGCAAGCACTTTTTTTTTTTGGTTTAATATTTCACCTAAATATCATAGTTGCTTCTACGTAAATTCATGGCACCTAACGGGCCCACTTGGAGTCCCATTCCCAGGTGAGTGAGAAAGGGAGGTAGGCATGTTCTGATGGTAAAGTGGGCATGGCGGCGGAAGCGGGGGAGCACTGATTTTTGATCTCGTGTCTGTTGTGCGCACCAGCAAAGTGAGTCTGAGGGGTAGCAACGGTTGGCAGGGTCAGGGGTGTGTCACAGGGTATTGCAGGAAAGGAAGCATGTGCGGCACACTGCATGTGCGGAAAGCATGCGCCAGCCGGGTAAAACTCGGCTTGTGCCGGTTAGAACTCGGCCGAGTTTTTTTGGCCTGGGGTCGAACTCATCTCTCATCCCAATGGGACGAGTTTGCCTAAGGGCGTGTGACATTTCTACTTTTTATATTCCGAGCGAACTTACGGTTTTGAAAATTACCGCTCTGAAACATATCGAAATCTACTTGAACGAAGCGTTCGACAAATGGACCATTTCAACCGTTCGGAACGTACGGTTCGTTTGGAAATTTCCGAATGTTACACGCCCTAAAACACGCCCAGGTATTTGAAACGTGGGGATGCAGTTTGTAACTCGTTGAGAACGAAATTCGTAGCTTCCAATCCCACAAATTCGCCTACAATGTTGTCCCCAACCGACCCGCCCCTCATTACCTACCTCCACCGCACAGCGTCTAGGAAACCCAGCCAATTTCAAATTTGGAGATTGGTAACTGAGGGAAGCCTGTTCGTTTTTTCACGAGCTGATCGAAGCCTTCACGAAGTTTTGACGAAGGGGTACCCGTCGCCCGTTCGAACGTGCGACGATTTTGAATCTGGATGTGACACGCCATAGAATTCGAAATCTAGATCTAGCCGACCTCCTAAACTTTCTACACGACTTCTCCAAGATTTCGCGCGCAACATTATCCAATGACGATTGGCTGTCATCTGAGCTAGATGCTTGCTACTAGTAATAGCCAGTAGCACACTATATGCTTGACGGATGCATCTTAAACTAATTTCCTAAACTGCAATGTTGTCTTTTGTATCCACATCCTCTCTCCTTCGTACAAACGTCGCGACGAGTATTTTTTCAAAACTCGCCGAGTTAAATAAAAACTCGCGCTAAGGCGCGAGTTTCCAACGAGTTAGGGAGAGAAAAAAAAAACACAACAACAACAAAAAAAAAAAAACACACACACACACACACACACACAAAAAAAACGCCGAGAGGCTCGACTCGGCCGAGTTTTCCGGCGGAGTGTCGAACTCGTCACGCGTCCCTAGACGAGTTCTTGGAACAAACCGAGTTGTGAAACTTGTCCAAATGCACAAGCGCATTGCGCTTTACACTGCAAGCATGCGCTGAATTTTGAGTCGACTCATAAGTCACCTCCTTGTGCACATGTCTGATGCTCTTCAACACTGAAAGCATGCGCGAGCACCCTGAAAACATGCGCGGCACATGCGCGAGCACCCTGAAAACATGCGCGGCACATGCGCTGCACGCTGAAAGCATGCGTGGCACACTGAAAGCATGCGTGGCACACTGAAAGCATGCGTGGCACACTGAAAGCATGCGTGGCACACTGAAAGCATGCGTGGCACACTGAAAGCATGCGTGGCACACACCTTCTCTCAACAACCAAGCTCTAACCTCGACTCCAGTGCATGATCAATCCATCACTCACTTCTGCTCCCACTCTTCCTCCCCCTTCACACCCCCCCATCCCCCTCCACACCTTATCCCCCCCACCCCACTGCCCTGCAGCCGACGCCTCTCCCCTCAATTCTTTCTCCCCACTGGCCCCTCTCCTGCGCCCACCCACTCCTGTGCATGGTCAATCCATCACTCACTTGTGCTCCCACTCTTCCCCCCCCCTTCACCTCCCCCCTTCCCCCCCCACTGCCCTGCCCTGCAGCCGACCCCTCTCCCTCCCCTCAAGTCCTTCTCCCACGGGCAGGTGTCACCTCCCAAAACTCATTCATTTCACCCTCCCCTCCCCGTTCCCCTCTCCCCCACGCTGCCCTTCTCCTCACCTCACTCCCCATCCCCTCCCCCACTGCCCTGCAGCCGACCCCTCCCCCCTCAAGTCGTTCTCCCACTGGCCGCTCTCCAGCATCCACCCGCTCCTCACAGCCGGCTCAGCTCGCCGCAACCGCTCCTCCCTCTCCCTCACCACGCTCTCCGACGTGAATGCTGCCTCCCTCGCGCTGCACCCCGCCCCCTTCGCCCTGATCGCCCCTGCCACGCCCACCTCCCCCTGCCGCCCCTTCTCCTTCTCCACCTCCTTCACCTTCCGCATCTCCTCCCCCAACGCCGCGGGGCTGGGCGGCGAGGGCTTGGCGTTTGTGATGCTGCCGACGCCCACGCTCGGCCTGCCGGGACCCTCCCTGGGCTACGGCCGCCTGCTGCTTCCGCCGGGGAGCACGACTAGTGTCATCAGTGCGGCAGTGTCATCTCAGGTACGCTTCAGCTCAGGTGGGCATCAACTCAATGGTTCAGCAATGCAGGTGGGCAGTATTGCATAAACTCAGGTTGTTACTGCGCTTGTCTTGATATCCTGTAAGAGAGAAGCTGAGAAAGAGAGCAGCTGAGAAAGAGAGCAGTTGAGAAAGAGAGCAGCTGAGAAAGAGAGCAGCTGAGAAAGAGAGCAGCTGAGAAAGAGAGCAGCTGAGAAAGAGAGCAGCTGAGAAAGAGAGCAGCTGAGAAAGAGAGCAGCTGAGAAAGAGAGCCTTACTTTCTTGTTCTCCTCGTCTGCTGCTCTGATCTGACGTTCAGCTTATCTGCTTCTTCCCCCCTGCCCCCCTCTCCCCCTGCCCCATGCACAGCAGCACAGGATCCTCGCAATTAAACATCTGAATCGCTCAACATGGCCCCTTCCGTCGCCTCCCCACCCTTCCACCCCGTGCACAGCAGCACAGGAGCCTGGCAGTGGAGTTTGACACATCAGCCTCCCCAGAGTTTTTCGACCGGCAGGAGCACCACGTGGGGGTGAACCTGGATGGCAGCATGCTCTCGCTCGCCTCTGCCCCCGTGCACCCCGTTGGCATCCCCTCCCTCAACGCCGGTCAGACCCTCCTCGCCACCATTCAGTACAACGCCTCCTCCTCCCAGCTCACCCTTTGGCTCTCCCCTGCCCCCTCCTCTTTCCCTCCCCGCTCGTCATCTCGCTCCCCCCCTCGCTCCTCGTTGTCCTCCTCCTCCCCTCCGCTTCCCCGCTCTGCCGTTCTCACCACCTTCCTGGACACATGCGATTGGCTCGGTGGGAACGACCCAGATGCAGCAGCAGCAGCAGCAGCAGCGCCCCCCCCGCAGCTGTTTGTGGGCTTCACTGCAGCCACGGGCAAGGGGGCGGAGCAGGCGCAGGCGCACGAGGTGCTGGGGTGGAGTTTCGAAGTCGGTGAAGGTGAGGGCAGGGCAGGTGTCATACCGAGCCAATGTATAGCACAGCTTTTGAGTCGACTCAACACGCAGGCGCACGAGGCATATCTTGTACGCGTTTATACGCAGTACACAAACTCTTTTGAGAGTTCTTTTTTTCCAGGTCACGCTCTCACCATGCATTCCGTTCTTTCTTTCAAAGTTTGTTCTGCGGTATTCTCAATCCTTTTTCCCCCATTTTTCACCTTCCTTCACTGCCTTTGCCTTTGCTTTCTGATAAAAGAGATGTTTTGAGACGTCTCAAAACACCTTTACTGCCTTTGCCTTTGCTTTCTTTCTCCAAAACCTCACCGCACGTTCCGCCCCCTTCGCTTCATACCATACCAAGTTAACCCCACCCAGGACCAGGTTATGACTGGGCATGTGATGTCATGTCCTCCTCATTCAAACCCTGCCCCCTCTTCCCCTCCTCCCCTTGATCCCCGCTCTTCACTACACCCCCTTTCCCCTCCTCCCCTGCCCCCCCTATCCCCTGCACCCTCCTCCCCCTTTTTCACACATCACATCACATCACATCACATCACATCACATCACATCACATCACATCACATCACATCACATCACATCACATCACATCACATCACATCACATAACATAACATCACATCCCGTTGCATCGCATCGCATCGCATCACATCGTCAACCCCAGCAGCGGAGGATCCGCTTCCGTTTTGGGCGGCAGACTCGTTCTCCTTTCCCTACATCACGCCAGCCACTCCCCTGCTGACACGTGGCAGCACAAGGAAGCGTTTCTTCGCCGCCGACCTCTCTGTCGCTGCTGACATGGCATCCACCAGCCAATCAGACGATCCTGCCCCGGGAGCCTTGTTCTTCCCTCGCCCTCTCCCCCTCCTCTACCCCTCCTCCTCCCCTCCCTTCCCTCCTCCTTCCTTTCCTCTTCCTCGCAGCTCCCCCAGCTCCTCTCCTTCCTCCCCTCTTCAACCCTCAGCCACCGAACCTCCCACCGAGCCTCCCGTCTGCATGGCCCGCTCGTTCACCTTCACATACGGCTTTTCCATTAATGTATCCGCGTCTCAAGGGCTCGCATTCGTTATAAGCACACACGCGAGCGTGGGCCTAGGCGGGGCTTATATGGGGTACGGCCGGGACCCGTCCGCGCGACTCGCTAATGGCAGCTGGCCGGACAGCGCACGGAGTGTAGCTGTGTTATGGCGCACTGTAGTAAACCCAGAAACTGGCGATAGAAACCTTGTATTTGTCGGCATTAATACCGATTTTAACATGACATCGGTTTTCGCGGAGGATTCGACTTATGTGATGGAACCGGAGGAAGTGTGGCAGATGAGGGTTGACTATAACGGGAGCAGCAAGGAGATGGCGCTTAGATGGTACCGGCCGCCTTATCTACGAGGCATCATGAGGGTCTCTATTGACCTGTGTGCTGCTCTTAGCGAGGTCTCTGACACCAATGGAAGCAGCAGTGATAGCGACGGCGGCGGCAGCAGCAGCGGCAGCAGCAGCAGTGGCAGCAGCGGCGTGACGGACCCAGCATCGCCGTCCTTTGGGCAGCTGTTGGTGGGGTTTACCAGCGCTGCTCTCCCTCCCCCCCCTGGCCGCCTGCCTTCCCCCGTCACCGTCTTCTCCTGGACCTTCAGATTCACCGGTAAGGGGGAGGCGAGGGGACGAGTAGGGGTGATGGGGGGAGGGAGAGAGAAGAAGGGGTAACAGCCCTGTCCCAGTCGCCCTCTTCTCCTGGACCTTCAGATTTACAGGTACGGGGGAGGCGAGGGGGCGAGATGGGGGGGGAGGGAGAGAGAGAGAGAGGGAAGCAATTCACGTGCCCTGCCCCCGTTGGCCTCTCCTCCTGGACCGTCTGGTTTACAGGTAGGGAGAGGGGAGGAAGGATTTTCGTTCCTGTAACCCCACGGAACCCCACCCCCACTCCCTGGCATCTCCTGGCCGCCTGCCTTCCCCCGTCGCCCTCTTCTACCGCATCCCCTCGCTATCCTCGTCTCCCATACCCTCTCGAACTCCCCACTGATAAACTGTCTCACTCATTCCCATCCTCCCTCCCCCCCAACAGACACAGACCCCTGCAAGGGTTCTCCTGTGCTGCCCTGTGGAACGGGCGTGTGCAGCAAGGCGCCTGCCCCGAGGGACCCCTCTATCCATCTGTCTCATGCCCTCGCTTTCCCCACTCTCCAACTGTCTCATTCCCTTCACCCCGCCCCCTCAACAGACACAGACCCCTGCAAGGGTTCTCCAGTGCTGCCCTGTGGAACGGGCGTGTGCAGCAAGGCGCCTGCTCCGTGGGACCCCTCTATCCTCGTGCCCTCCTGCAAGTGCCCCTTCAATCTCCCCTCCTTTGAACCATCTCACCTCTCCGGCCTGCCCTCCTGCTTCCCCGGTGAGTCGTGGAGTGCAGTAGGTGTGAGGTTGAGTGTGGTGGCGATGGGTGAGAGGCGGGGTGCTGTAGGTGCCCTGTGGGACCCCTATATCTATCCTCGTGCGGCACGAGGGCAACGAGACGAGTTACTCGCTCGGACTCGGCCGAGTTACTCGTTTGGGTGCGAGTAACGAGTTGCGTTTTTTGAAAAATTTACTCATCCGAGTCGAGCCTACTCGCCGAGTTTTTTTTGCTCGACGAGTACTCGGGCACTATTTCGCCCGCTGTTTCGCGCAGATCGGCGATATCGCCCGTCGATCCACGCAAAACGGCGATTTCGCCCGTCGATCTGCACAGATTGGCGATTTCGCCAGCCGATCCGCGCGGATCGGTGATTTCGCCCGCCGATCCGCGCAGATTGGCGATTTCGCTGCGCAGATCGGCGATGTCTGCCACATATTGTGTCAATACTGTTGCTTTGATCGTTAAGCTCAGATGAGATGTTGCTTTGGTCGAGCCCAACCACTGTATTTCGGCGGGCGAAATATTGCTTCCCCGACTACTGTAATTCGCCGACAATTTTCCGCCTCGAGTTCCCAACCGACTACTAACCTCTGTTCACCGCACTGAATCTACAAAAATCCCAACCACCCGTTCCAATTTCAGATCTCGTCACAACACAACCCCCTCCCTTCCCAGCTAGTCTACTCCGATATTCTTTCATTAGCTAGCTGGACGCGTCCGTGGTGATTGTGAGGGCCCCTGTTTTTGCAGTTACAGGGCAGCGGGGCGAGCATTACTCGAACTCGGACGAGCTTTTCTAAATGCTCGCCCGAGTTCCCTTATATAAGGCGAGTAACGAGTTTCGGTTTGGGGGAAAAATGCTCGGTCGAGTATTACTCGACTCGGCCTCGTACTCGGCCGAGCAAGGCTAGGGACGAGTCGAGCATTACTCGGCTCGCCCCTTTGCACAGGTATACTCGTGCCCTCCTGCAAGTGCCCCTTCAATCTTCCCTCCTTCGAACCATCTCACCTCTCCGGCCTGCCCTCCTGCTTCCCTGGTGAGTCGTGGAGTGCAGTAGGCAAGGGGTGGAGTGCGGTCGGCGAGGGGTGGAGTGCGGTCGGCAAGAGTTGGAGTGCGGTCGGCGAGGGGTGGAGTGTGGTAGGCAAGAGGTGGAGTGCAGTCGGTTAGAGGTGGAGTGTTCGGTTCGGTAGGTGACATGTGGAGTGCGGTGGGTGAGAGGTGGAGTGCCGTGGGTGAGAGGTGGAGTGCGGTAGGTGACATGTGGAGTGCGGTGGGTGAGAGGTGGAGTGCGGTAGGTGACATGTGGAGTGCGGTGGGTGAGAGGTGGAGTGCTGTAGGTGCTCTTGTGGTTTGGGGACATGACACAGTGTTGCAGGCATGCACTTGTTCGTTCTCGATTCACACCACTCTTTAGAAAACGTAGAAGTTTGTACCCTTATAATTCGGAACATTCCGTAATCAACCCTTTTTTTTTTTTGGCTCTTGAAATTACTCATGGCCTATGATCTAATGTGCGCTCTAATGCTCTATGACCCCTCCTGCAACACCGTTTTTTCCATTTCCCCTCCTTTCCCCCCCACCGCCTTTCTCCCTCCCCCTTCTTCCTCTTCCTCCTCATTTCCTCTTTCTCCTCCTCTCTCATTCTCCATCCCCTTTTCCCCCCCCTTGCCCCCCTTCCCCCATCCCCCGTCCGCCTGTTCCATTTTCCCCTCTCCTCCCCTCCGTCCCCTCACCAGACTCCTTCAGGTGTCGCCACCTCCCCCGCAACCCATGTGCCCCGGGGGTGTACATTGATGACATAGACGGCACCTACTCCTGCCTCTGCCTCTCGCCCTTCTTTCCCCTCCACTCTTCTTCCCCATTCACCATTGAAAATCTCCAACCCCCTTTTCCCCCTGTGGGCCATTGTCCCCCATCCCCCGTCCCCCTGTCCTTTTCCCCCACCATTCCCTTCCCGCACACCCCCTCACCAGATTCCTTCAGGTGTCGCTATCTCCCCCGCAACCCGTGTGCCCCGGGGGTGTGTATCAATGACGTAGACGGCACCTACTCCTGCCTCTGCCCCTCGCCCTTCTTCGCCTTCTACTTCTATGCGAAAGGCTCTGCCCGCTGTAACCAGTGTGCGTAACACTTGCTACCTGCCCCTGCCCTCAAAGGGGAAGTGGGTGGGTGTCACACGGTGTTTTTTCTACATGCTGCAGAGCTATTCTTGCTTGGAGGTTACCGAAGCGAGTTGGTAATTATTTTATTTCAGCCCTTGATTGATTTCCGGCTGCCCTAGGTTTCCATCTCACGCCCTGGCCTCTCGCCTACCCCTCACAGGCACCTCTCTCACATGCACCACTCTCTTTCACATGCACCACTCTCTTTCACATGCACCACTCTCTTTCACATGCACCACTCTCTTTCACATGCACCACTCTCTTTCACATGCACCACTCTCTTTCACATGCACCACTCTCTTTCACATGCACCACTCTCTTTCACATGCACCACTCTCTTTCACATGCACCACTCTCTTTCACATGCACCACTCTCTTTCACATGCACCACTCTCTTTCACATGCACCACTCTCACATTCCCTTCTCTCTCACATGCCGCCCTCTGTCCATATTGTCGTTCTATTCTGATAGATTGCACATGTCTTGTCATCATGTCTCATCTCATAACAATGACTCCGGGACGGCACAAGGCTCATTTACCAGCACTTTGGCATGCCATTTCCATCCTTCCAAGGACCTTGTTTGAGTAAACTCATGTGTCTCCTCACCTTGCTGCACACATTGCATTAACCTGCATGCCTGCCCCATGCTTTCCCCGTGCGTACATGCTTTCCCCGTGCGTACATGCTTTCCCCGTGCATGCATGCTTTCCCCGTGCATGCATGCTCAACCCGTGCATGCATGCTCAACCCGTGCATGCATGCTCAACCCGTGCATGCAGTGCGATTGTTTGAGCTGCGAGTGCCCACCTTCCTGTCGCCCTACGGCCTCACATGCCCTCTCATCCTCAACACTTACGGGCTCACCCAAGCGGCCTTCTTCAGCCAAAACAAGGTCTGAAAGCCTTCTTCAGCCAAAACAGGGTGTGAAAGGCTTCTTCAGCCAAAACAAGGTGTGAAAGGCTTCTTCAGCCAAAACAAGGTGTGATAGGCTTCTTCACAAAAGGCTATCAGTTTGGATTACTACAAGACAAGTTATTTCAGATTCGTCACACATCTGCATTGCCTTTTACACTGCCCCCTTTTCTGGTCACCTGCCCACCCTCATTGCCCCTCATTGCCCCTCATTGCCCCTCATTGCCCCTCATTGCCCCTCATTGCCCCTCATTGCCCCTCATTGCCCCTCATTGCCCCTCATTGCCCCTCATTGCCCCTCATTGCCCCTCATTGCCCCTCATTGCCCCTCATTGCCCCTCATTGCCCCTCATTGCCCCTCATTGCCCCTCATTGCCCCTCATTGCCCCTCATTGCCCCTCATTGCCCCTCATTGCCCCTCATTGCCCCTCATTGCCCCTCATTGCCCCTCATTGCCCCTCATTGCCCCTCATTGCCCCTCATTGCCCCTCATTGCCCCTCATTGCCCCTCATTGCCCCTCATTGCCCCTCATTGCCCCTCATTGCCCCTCATTGCCCCTCATTGCCCCTCATTGCCCCTCATTGCCCCTCATTGCCCCTCACTGCCCCTCACTGCCCCTCATTGCCCCTCATTGCCCCTCATTGCCCCTCATTGCCCCTCATTGCCCCTCATTGCCCCTCATTGCCCCTCATTGCCCCTCACTGCCCCTCACTGCCCCTCATTGCCCCTCATTGCCCCTCACTGCCCCTCAAGCCCCCACACGGCCCCTCACTTTCCCTCACTTCCCCTCTTTGTCCTGCACTTACCCTCACTCCTCTCCGCCCTCACTTTCCCCTCATTCTTCCCACGTCCCACTCTGCCTGCTTCATTCGTGCCAATCACTCCTTGTTCTAACCGCAGAGCTTCCAATCCCACACCCCTTTACCTTCCCATCCCTTTCAAAGCTTTCTTTGTTTTGTCGACTGCTCAAATTCCAAACAATCTGATCCTTCATCTCTCCTTGTTCCAACCCACCCAATCCTTCATCTCTCCTTGTTCCAACCCACCCAATCCTTCATCTCTCCTTGTTCCAACCCACCGAATCCTTCATCTCTCCTTGTTCCAACCCACCCAATCCTTCATCTCTCCTTGTGCTGACTGCAGGGATTCCAGTGCCGAGCGCCCATCCCTTCAGACACTCTAATCAACGTCACCAGCCGGGCTTTCTCCCAATGCACTTCCATGTACACTGCTAACTATGTGAGTGCCGTTGCGTCTATGCAGTTGCTAGTGCGTTTATCCAAGGGCCGGTGATGTAAGCGCCAGTTTGTGTAGAGACTCTAGTCAACGTTACCACCAGGGCTTTCTCCCATTCCACCTCCATGTACACTGCTAACTATGTGAGTGCCATTTTGTTTATCCAATTGCAGTGCGTTTATGTAAGCTCCAGAGGTACTTATGTAAGCGCCAGAGGTATTTATGTAAGCGCCAGTTCGTTTATGTAAGCGCCATCAAGCTCAGCCTTTAAACGTACACCCTCTTCACTGCTCACCCTGAATCCCCCGCTTTCTGTGTTTGTATTTCCCACTCCCTCCATCTCCCTAATCCCTTCATTCCCCCCCCCTTCCTTCGGCTCATCTCAATTCTCCCATTAGCGGCACATTCTCTTCCCACTCCCTTCTAAACCTGTCATTCGTGTCTGCAGGGTGACTCGTGTGACTCCATCAATGCCCTGAATGCGGCTGAATGCGGCATTGACTCCATCAATGCCCTGAATGCGGCTGAATGCGGCATTGACTCCATCAATGCCCTGAATGCGGCTGAATGCGGCATTGACTCCATCAATGCCCTGAATGCGGCTGAATGCGGCATTGACTCCATCAATGCCCTGAATGCGGCTGAATGCGGCATTGACTCCATCAATGCCCTGAATGCGGCTGAATGCGGCATTGACTCCATCAATGCCCTGAATGCGGCTGAATGCGGCATTGACTCCATCAATGCCCTGAATGCGGCTGAATGCGGCATTGACTCCATCAATGCCCTGAATGCGGCTGAATGCGGCATTGACTCCATCAATGCCCTGAATGCGGCTGAATGCGGCATTGACTCCATCAATGCCCTGAATGCGGCTGAATGCGGCATTGACTCCATCAATGCCCTGAATGCGGCTGAATGCGGCATTGACTCCATCAATGCCCTGAATGCGGCTGAATGCGGCATTGACTCCATCAATGCCCTGAATGCGGCTGAATGCGGCATTGACTCCATCAATGCCCTGAATGCGGCTGAATGCGGCATTGACTCCATCAATGCCCTGAATGCGGCTGAATGCGGCATTGACTCCATCAATGCCCTGAATGCGGCTGAATGCGGCATTGACTCCATCAATGCCCTGAATGCGGCTGAATGCGGCATTGACTCCATCAATGCCCTGAATGCGGCTGAATGCGGCATTGACTCCATCAATGCCCTGAATGCGGCTGAATGCGGCATTGACTCCATCAATGCCCTGAATGCGGCTGAATGCGGCATTGACTCCATCAATGCCCTGAATGCGGCTGAATGCGGCATTGACTCCATCAATGCCCTGAATGCGGCTGAATGCGGCATTGACTCCATCAATGCCCTGAATGCGGCTGAATGCGGCATTGACTCCATCAATGCCCTGAATGCGGCTGAATGCGGCATTGACTCCATCAATGCCCTGAATGCGGCTGAATGCGGCATTGACTCCATCAATGCCCTGAATGCGGCTGAATGCGGCATTGACTCCATCAATGCCCTGAATGCGGCTGAATGCGGCATTGACTCCATCAATGCCCTGAATGCGGCTGAATGCGGCATTGACTCCATCAATGCCCTGAATGCGGCTGAATGCGGCATTGACTCCATCAATGCCCTGAATGCGGCTGAATGCGGCATTGACTCCATCAATGCCCTGAATGCGGCTGAATGCGGCATTGACTCCATCAATGCCCTGAATGCGGCTGAATGCGGCATTGACTCCATCAATGCCCTGAATGCGGCTGAATGCGGCATTGACTCCATCAATGCCCTGAATGCGGCTGAATGCGGCATTGACTCCATCAATGCCCTGAATGCGGCTGAATGCGGCATTGACTCCATCAATGCCCTGAATGCGGCTGAATGCGGCATTGACTCCATCAATGCCCTGAATGCGGCTGAATGCGGCATTGACTCCATCAATGCCCTGAATGCGGCTGAATGCGGCATTGACTCCATCAATGCCCTGAATGCGGCTGAATGCGGCATTGACTCCATCAATGCCCTGAATGCGGCTGAATGCGGCATTGACTCCATCAATGCCCTGAATGCGGCTGAATGCGGCATTGACTCCATCAATGCCCTGAATGCGGCTGAATGCGGCATTGACTCCATCAATGCCCTGAATGCGGCTGAATGCGGCATTGACTCCATCAATGCCCTGAATGCGGCTGAATGCGGCATTGACTCCATCAATGCCCTGAATGCGGCTGAATGCGGCATTGACTCCATCAATGCCCTGAATGCGGCTGAATGCGGCATTGACTCCATCAATGCCCTGAATGCGGCTGAATGCGGCATTGACTCCATCAATGCCCTGAATGCGGCTGAATGCGGCATTGACTCCATCAATGCCCTGAATGCGGCTGAATGCGGCATTGACTCCATCAATGCCCTGAATGCGGCTGAATGCGGCATTGACTCCATCAATGCCCTGAATGCGGCTGAATGCGGCATTGACTCCATCAATGCCCTGAATGCGGCTGAATGCGGCATTGACTCCATCAATGCCCTGAATGCGGCTGAATGCGGCATTGACTCCATCAATGCCCTGAATGCGGCTGAATGCGGCATTGACTCCATCAATGCCCTGAATGCGGCTGAATGCGGCATTGACTCCATCAATGCCCTGAATGCGGCTGAATGCGGCATTGACTCCATCAATGCCCTGAATGCGGCTGAATGCGGCATTGACTCCATCAATGCCCTGAATGCGGCTGAATGCGGCATTGACTCCATCAATGCCCTGAATGCGGCTGAATGCGGCATTGACTCCATCAATGCCCTGAATGCGGCTGAATGCGGCATTGACTCCATCAATGCCCTGAATGCGGCTGAATGCGGCATTGACTCCATCAATGCCCTGAATGCGGCTGAATGCGGCATTGACTCCATCAATGCCCTGAATGCGGCTGAATGCGGCATTGACTCCATCAATGCCCTGAATGCGGCTGAATGCGGCATTGACTCCATCAATGCCCTGAATGCGGCTGAATGCGGCATTGACTCCATCAATGCCCTGAATGCGGCTGAATGCGGCATTGACTCCATCAATGCCCTGAATGCGGCTGAATGCGGCATTGACTCCATCAATGCCCTGAATGCGGCTGAATGCGGCATTGACTCCATCAATGCCCTGAATGCGGCTGAATGCGGCATTGACTCCATCAATGCCCTGAATGCGGCTGAATGCGGCATTGACTCCATCAATGCCCTGAATGCGGCTGAATGCGGCATTGACTCCATCAATGCCCTGAATGCGGCTGAATGCGGCATTGACTCCATCAATGCCCTGAATGCGGCTGAATGCGGCATTGACTCCATCAATGCCCTGAATGCGGCTGAATGCGGCATTGACTCCATCAATGCCCTGAATGCGGCTGAATGCGGCATTGACTCCATCAATGCCCTGAATGCGGCTGAATGCGGCATTGACTCCATCAATGCCCTGAATGCGGCTGAATGCGGCATTGACTCCATCAATGCCCTGAATGCGGCTGAATGCGGCATTGACTCCATCAATGCCCTGAATGCGGCTGAATGCGGCATTGACTCCATCAATGCCCTGAATGCGGCTGAATGCGGCATTGACTCCATCAATGCCCTGAATGCGGCTGAATGCGGCATTGACTCCATCAATGCCCTGAATGCGGCTGAATGCGGCATTGACTCCATCAATGCCCTGAATGCGGCTGAATGCGGCATTGACTCCATCAATGCCCTGAATGCGGCTGAATGCGGCATTGACTCCATCAATGCCCTGAATGCGGCTGAATGCGGCATTGACTCCATCAATGCCCTGAATGCGGCTGAATGCGGCATTGACTCCATCAATGCCCTGAATGCGGCTGAATGCGGCATTGACTCCATCAATGCCCTGAATGCGGCTGAATGCGGCATTGACTCCATCAATGCCCTGAATGCGGCTGAATGCGGCATTGACTCCATCAATGCCCTGAATGCGGCTGAATGCGGCATTGACTCCATCAATGCCCTGAATGCGGCTGAATGCGGCATTGACTCCATCAATGCCCTGAATGCGGCTGAATGCGGCATTGACTCCATCAATGCCCTGAATGCGGCTGAATGCGGCATTGACTCCATCAATGCCCTGAATGCGGCTGAATGCGGCATTGACTCCATCAATGCCCTGAATGCGGCTGAATGCGGCATTGACTCCATCAATGCCCTGAATGCGGCTGAATGCGGCATTGACTCCATCAATGCCCTGAATGCGGCTGAATGCGGCATTGACTCCATCAATGCCCTGAATGCGGCTGAATGCGGCATTGACTCCATCAATGCCCTGAATGCGGCTGAATGCGGCATTGACTCCATCAATGCCCTGAATGCGGCTGAATGCGGCATTGACTCCATCAATGCCCTGAATGCGGCTGAATGCGGCATTGACTCCATCAATGCCCTGAATGCGGCTGAATGCGGCATTGACTCCATCAATGCCCTGAATGCGGCTGAATGCGGCATTGACTCCATCAATGCCCTGAATGCGGCTGAATGCGGCATTGACTCCATCAATGCCCTGAATGCGGCTGAATGCGGCATTGACTCCATCAATGCCCTGAATGCGGCTGAATGCGGCATTGACTCCATCAATGCCCTGAATGCGGCTGAATGCGGCATTGACTCCATCAATGCCCTGAATGCGGCTGAATGCGGCATTGACTCCATCAATGCCCTGAATGCGGCTGAATGCGGCATTGACTCCATCAATGCCCTGAATGCAACTGAAATGCGGCATTGACTCCATCAATGCCCTGAATGCGGCTGAATGCGGCATTGACTCCATCAATGCCCTGAATGCGGCTGAATGCGGCATTGACTCCATCAATGCCCTGAATGCGGCTGAATGCGGCATTGACTCCATCAATGCCCTGAATGCGGCTGAATGCGGCATTGACTCCATCAATGCCCTGAATGCGGCTGAATGCGGCATTGACTCCATCAATGCCCTG